GTCGTCGCGGGCGCGCCCGCGCCGACCGCCGCGCCGACGGCCGCGCCGACGGCCGCGGCGCCGCGGCCCGCGGCGGGGCCGACCTACGCGCCGTCCTTCGTCGCGCCGACGCCCGCGCCGACGCCGCCGCGGCCCACGGCGGGGCCCACCTACGGGCCGACCTTCCCGTCGCCCGCGCCGACGACGGGCTCGCCGGCCGCGGCGACGGGACGACCGGTCGCGGCGCCGACGACGGGACGGCCGGTCGCGCCGCCGACGCCGCGGCCCGTGGCGGCCCCGACGCCGCGGCCCGTGGCGGCCCCGACGCCCGCGCCCGTCGTCGCCTTCGTCGACGCCATGGACGACGACGCGGCCGGCGGGCGCGCCGGCGACGACGACGACGAGGAGATCGGCACCGCGGCCATCGTCGGCGTCGTCGGCGCGGCGTGCCTCATCCTGTCCTGCGGCACGCTGGCGGCGCTCGTCGCCTGGAAGGTCACGCGGCGCAAGCCCGCGCCGCCGGCTAAGCGCGCGGAGGCCCCCGGCGACGTCGAGCTCGGGAGGCCCGCGCCGGCCTACGCGCCCTACGCGGCGCCGCCCCCGAGCGAGTCGTCGTCGGAGGCGAGCGACTCGGACGACGACGAGGAGGCGAACCGCGCCAAGCTCTTCGGGAGCCGGCCGCCGCGGCCGCCGCCCGAGGAGACCAAGACCGCGTTTTGGCCCGCCGACGGCGACGACGCGTCCGACGCGTCCGAGCCGGAGGTGCGGACGCCGTTCTTCGCCGAGGAGGACATGGAGCTCGACAGCGACGGCGAGATCGAGATCCACGAGCACCCATTCTTCGACGACGGCCCCGGAGGAGCCAGCCCCGTCGTCGCGCCGTTCCATCGGGCCGCCGCCGCGGCCGAGGACCGCGCCGCGGAGGCGAGCGAGGCCGAGGCGAGCGAGGAGGACGCGTCGGTGCTGGCCCCCGAAGTCATCGAGGAAGAACCGACGGTGCTGGCCCCCGAGGTCATCGACGAGGCGGCGCCGCCGGAGGCGGACGGCGCGCGCCCGCCGCCGTCGGACGACGACGAGTCCGTCGTCGCCGCGGTCGTCGTCGAGGAGCCGCCGCCCTCCGAGGCGCCGGAGGACGCGCCGTCGAGCGCGAGCGACAACATGGCGGCCTACGACGACCTGACGGCGTCGTCCGCGCACACGCACTCGGCCGCGGAGCGCGGCCGGAGCGGGTCGCCCGCGTCGCTCCTCAGCGTCCTCGACCCGGACGCGGGGCGGCGCGCGAGCCCGCTCCGGCGGTCCGCGCCGCCGGAGGACGTCGCGTCGACGATGACGGCCTTCGAGCGCCACATCGCGGAGCGCCAGCTCGGCCGGGGACCGTCGCCGGAGGGCGCCGGCGCCGCCGCCCCGGAGGGCGCCGACGACCCGCCGCCGCCGCCGCCGGAGCCGGCCTACGCCACCCCGGCGCCGCCGCCGCCCTGGCTCGACGCGAGCCCGAGCGCCGCGCGCCAGCTCTTCGACCGCGAGGGGGGCTCGTTCTCCGCGGCCGCGGGCAGCGGCTCCGACTCCGACGACTCCCGCGAGCCCGAGCTCATCAGCTGGATCCGGAAGGCGGCCCAGATCGACGACGACGACGACGACGACTACCCGGATCTGAGGTAAGTGTGAATAACTTCCTCCGTCCGGGACCTATAGGCCGTGTGTGCTCTTGTGCATGCGGCTTCTCCGACGCTAAATAAAGAATAATAATAATAATATGCAAGCAGTGGGATTTCGAATTCTAACATTGAACTGCTGGCTTCCTCACTGCCCACTGCACGAGCTGCGCTGATGAGCGTTGCGGCATTGCGGCGGGCAGTGTAAGCCGGGTCGATGGCCCGGGTCGCGCCTGAGACAGAGCTGGTGGCGTCCGACGCCGTCGCGCCTCCGCCGCGGCGCAACCCGAACGTCGTGCGGGACGTCGACGACAGCGACGACGACGAGGACGACGAGGGGACCGTGGGCCCGCGGCTCGCAGAGGCGCGCATGGTGTCACCAGAGGAGATGGTCGTAGCCGAAGCAACGGTGATCTCGACGCAGCCAGCCCTGCATTCGAGCGTGGACCGGTGCTCGCGCGGCCGAGATCGGGTCCACTCCAGGCTCCGTTCCCGTTCCGGGAAATGGAGGACGATTCGAATCGACGAGGCACTGGCGTATAGCCGGAGTCTATCGCCGGCACAGTACAGCGCGGAGAACCCAGCCCTCCACGGGTGGCACAAGTGCATTCCGATGGGCATCTGTGACTGCGTCCCCCCTGGCTGTTGCATTTCGTACAACGTTCCGATGGACGACAACTGCATCTGCATGCCGTGCATCTTCTGTCTCTGCATCGTCGTCCCTTTACTTTCCTGCATCGTTTCCACTGGCTGCGAACGGTCCGCGGATCACTCCTGGATCAGTCGAGGGGACTTTGGCGTAAAAAACGGGGAGTGGGTCATCGTCGACCACGAGCACGGCACGCTCGCCTGCTACGGCACGATACCGTTCACCTGCGTTCTCGTACCAACGCCATTCTGTTACTGCGTTAAAATGTAATTTTGAACTGCTCGGTGCCGTGCTCCGGCCTCTCAACAGGCGTTAACGCGTGGCCACTTATCGCGGGCGCCGGCGCCTCGACCGAGAGTCCCGCGCCTAGTTGAGCGGGCTGGTCGCGAACTTGTCGAGGAGCGGCCACCACCAGGCCGCGGGCTGGTGCGCGCCGCCGATCCACATGAGGCGGAACATGGCCATCTCCGGGACGTTGTCGGCGATCATGCGGTCCACGCGCGGCGCGCCGCTCTCCTCGAGCGTGGTCCAGCACGGCACGGCCGCGCCGCTCGCGTTCTTGCCGCAGGCGGCGGCCCAGATGCCGAGGCCCGGGCCGACCTTGTCGACGGGCGCCGCCTCGAGGAACTGCTCGTAGTAGCCGCCGTAGGCGTCGCCCTTGAGCCAGCCGTCCATGGAATTCGCGTTGTACTGTTCCATGTTGAGCAGGCGGTCGACGTGCGGCGCGAGGAGCGCGTAGTCCTTCGTCATGGCGCACCACGCGGCGACGTCCGCCGTCAGGCGCAGGCCCGCGGCGTTGAGGAGGGGCTTGAGCGTCGCCAGGTAGGCCGCGTACGGTTCCGGGCGGATCGTCGGGCCGCCGCCCTGGTCGGGCTCCGAGTCGACGTTGACGCCCGTGGCGTTGAAGCGCTTCGCGACGTCGATCATGGTCTTGGCGAAGATCGTCGCGTTTGCCGGCTCGAAGGCCGCCGGCGTCCAGTTCGTCGCGGGGCCGCTGCCCGCGCCGTCGGGGCCGGCCACCAAGAGCTCGACGTTGATGTTCGCGGCCGTGAGGCCCTCCGCGGTCCTGAGGCACGTGTCGGTCCAGGACTTGCAGGTCTTGTCGAGCTCGTCGTAGGGCTCGGCGCAGTTGACGCCGAGCGGGTGCGACGAGTTGATGCTGTGCTTGCACTCGAGGATGACGGAGCCCACGGTGTCGCTGTGGTTCGTGAGCAGCTCGACGAGGGTCGCGATGTCCCCGCCGCCGTAGGCGGCGGGCGTGTACCAGAAGGTCACGTTGCGGTGCTTGATGGCGTCGCTTACCGCCGACGCGCAGAGGAGGATCGAGAGGCGGAACATGGCTGCCCACACTCGAGATGGCGATGCCCGAAACGTCAAGACGACCAATTGAAGACGGCATTTTGGCCCATGGTGCCGCGGCATCACCTCGGCCGAATCGAAGGCTGACAGGCCCGCATCCGCGTCGTGTCCGCTCGCGCGCGTCGTGCCCGACGCACGCCCTCCCGTCGCCTGCTCCCCGACGCCTTCGCACCGGGCCCGGACGCACCTCGAGCCCGAAAGAACCCCGCGGGGCGCGCCGGCGCCGCGGAAACGCGAAAAGAAAACCTCCTCCCACCGGCAGCCTTTCGAAGCGGCCAAGCAGCAACCATGGCGGAGATGGCCGTGCTCGGGTCCCTCTTCATCGCGGGCTACATCGCCGTGCGCCTCGCCGAGGACGAGGACGAGGACGCGTCCGCGGCGGCCGTGGCGGCCGCGCAGCGTTCGGCGTCGTGCGCGCACCTCGTCGTCGCGCTCCACTACGCCGAGGACCTCGTCGACGCGACGTGGACGGGCACGCAGGACCTCAAGACGCTCGTCGAGGTCGTCGAGATCGCGAGCAACGCCGTCCTCGCCAAGGGCGAGTCGAAGATCTGCCACGACGGCGGCACGCGGCCCGTGTGGAGCGAGCAGCGCGGCGTCGTGTCCGTGCCCCTGCCCCACGAGGCGGTCCTCCCCCTCTGCAAGCTCGTGGTGACCATCTACAGCGAGTGCTACACGGCCGAGTCCATCTCGCTGGGCCACGGCGAGGTGCCCCTGGCGGATCCCGAGCTGTCCGCGGCGTCGCTCGAGATCGACCCGCGCGGCACTTTGGTGCTCTCCGTGACCTACCGCCCGCCGCTGGGCCCGGCGACGCCGCCCGTCGCGCCGGCCGTGGGGGCGGCGAACGCCGAGTGCTTCGTGCTCGACGACTCGTTCCAAGGGACGGAGCTCCGCGACATGTCGGCCGCGCCGCGGCCGCCGCCCCACGACGTCGCCGACGCCGTCGAGGCCATCGCCGTCGCCACGCCCGCCGACGCGCCCGTGCGCGCGCTCCGCGTCGCGCCGACGGTGCCGACGACCGTCGCCGCGTCGCTGCCCTACGCGGAGAGCTTCTCGAGCGTCGACGACCTCGACCCGCGGCCCTCGGGGGACACGCTCGAGTGAAGGCGCCCAGTACATACAATATGTTAGACGGAAGCGTCGCCGCGCGCCGCCGCGCGGTCGCGCACGAGCGCCTCGACGACGGCGATGTGCCGCGCGTCGCCGACGAGCTGGACCTCGCGCCGCGCGGCGTCGCCCTCCACGGCCAGGATCTCGATGCGCCCGGCCTCGAGCGACGGGTAGTGCTCGACGGTGAAGCCGAGGGGCTGGACCTTCTTGATGCGGTGGAGCTCGTGGACGCGCAGGCGGACGATCAGGGCCGCGAACATGAGGAAGAGGCCGGCGAGGACCAGCGACGCGGTGAGGCCCGCGTCTGTCATGGAGCGGTCCTTCGTCTCGCGCTTCGTGACGACGATGGCGTCGGGCGGGTGCTGGATCTCGGGGCACGAGGACTCGCCCTCGGAGGGTTCCGCCGAGCAGAGCGCGGCGACGCACGCGGCCGCGGACGCCTCGTCGGTCGCGGCGCAGAGGTCGCCGAACAGCCGCTCGTCGTCGCTGCCGCGCCCCGCAGACTCTAGAGTCTCGCGCGCCGCGAAGAGGGCCGCGTCGATGCCGCAGACCTTGTACGTCGTCTCGCGGACCTTCGTCGAGGCCCCCCAGCTAAAGTCTCGTACTGGCGCGTCTCGTAGTAGCAGTCGGCCCGGGCCGTTGTGACGACGGGTGTCACCAGGGGCTCGCCGTATGCTTCCTCCTCCGGGTTCGCGACCCACGCCATCGTCGACGGGTCGCATCCCGGCGCGTCGGACCCGTAGAGCCAGTCCTCGCCCGCGGCGGCGATGGTCCAGACCATGGCCGCGTCGCCGGCCTCGAGGACGTAGTCGCGGGAGTCGTGGGCCCAGTAGACGCCGTCGAAGCGCGAGCAGAGGAGGCCCACGACGGGCGCGCCGCGGCGCAAGACGTAGCGGCCGTCCGCGTCGCCCGCGCCCGCCACCCGGAGCGCCAGCGGCGCGGCGAGCGTCGCCAAGTCGCCGGTCGGCGCTGCTTCGCGCGCGACGGCGACGACGACGGGCGCGTCGAGGGGCGTCGACGCGCCCGCGTTCTCGGACCACGCGAGGCCAGAGCCGGGATCGCACCCCGTCACCGCGGCCTCGAAGTACCACACGCCGTTGGCCGCGATGCGCCAGGCTTTGTCCGTGCCCTCGATGACGGCATCGCCGTTGCGCCAGAGGACGCCGTCGGCTTTGAGGCAGTCGCCGTGCGCAATGTTCTCCGGGCCATCTCGAATATAGAGGCCGTCGAGCTCGTCGAGGCCCGTCCCGAGGACGGAGATGGTGAGAGGGACGTGGTCGGCGGTCGTGAAGGTCGTGGCGGCGATGGCTAAAGCCAGGAACTTCATCGAGGTTTGAACCATGCCGGGAAAATGAATCGACGCGATGCTCGGCGGATCCGAGTGTGACACAGGTGAAATCTCCGTCAATGAGAGTCGCTCACAAATTGAACCCATGGTGCCGTGCAGGACTCCCGCCGAAAAATACACGCATTTTATACAGGTTCCTCGCGCGCGGGTACTTGCGCGGGAGGGGAGGCAGCGGCGTCGTCTTCGTGCGCGCCGCGCGCGCGGAGGCGGCCGCCGGCGAGGGCCTCGACGATCGTGAGCCGCGGAGGCGCCTCTTCGCGACCCGGAAGAGGCGCCGCGTCCTCTCCGCGCGCCGCCGCGATCGCCAGCCTGGCCTCGACGAGGTCGATGTGCCGCGGATCGCCGCGGCGCCGCACGGCGACGGCCTCGGGAGTCAGCCGCGGATCCCAGTCGCCGTCCCCCAGGTCCCGGCCCTCGACGCGCGCGCGGCGGACGCGCTCGAGCGACGGGTAGACGGGGTGCTCGTCCTCCCCGCCGAGGGGGTGGATCTTCTGCCTGCGCCGGTGCTCGGCGACGCGGAGCGAGCAGGACGCGCGCGTCGCCGCCGCGAGGAAGAGCCCCGCGACGAACAACGCGGTAATCACCGTGATCGTCAATTGGCTCACGCCCTTCGACTTCTTGTCCGTGCCCCCCCTGACGGAGCGGTCGACGCGTCCCGGGCACGTGCCCCGGCCTTCCGCGGGCTCCCCGGAGCAGAGCGCGTCGACGCACGCCGCGGCGGACGGCTCGTCCGTCGCGGCGCAGAGTTCGCCCGCGAAGAACGCGCGCGGCTGCTCGTCGCCCTTCTTCCCCTGGTGCACCTCGCGCCCGACGGTCGTGGTGAAGAGCCGCGCTTCCTTGTCGATGCCGCACACCAGATACTTGCTCTCGACGACCTTCGTGGCGATCCCGAAGGAGCCCCAGGGCGAGTTCCAGGTCTCGTAATGGCGGGTCTCGTAGTAGCAGTCCGCGCGCGCGCGGTCGACGCTGACGTGTCCGTCGACGCCCGCGTTCGGGAGCCAGGCGAACTCGGTCGGGTCGCACCCGGCCGAGTCGGAGCCGTAGAGCCACGCGTCGGCGGCGGCGTCGGTGGCATTCGCGATCGACCATTTCGTCGCCGAGCCGTCGCGCGCCTCGAGCACGTACGCGTTGGCCTCGTTCTCCCAGTAGACGCCGTCGCGTTTCGCGCAGCGGAGGCCCGCGACGGGAACACCTTCTCGGAGGAGGTAGCGCCCGTCCGCCGCGCCGCTCCCCGTGATCCGGAGCGCCAGGGGCGCGTCGAGCGTCGTCACGTCGGCGAGGGGGAACGAGGCGTTCGCGGCGGTTTCTGCGGCGACGTCGCTGAGGCTATTCCCCATGGCGACCACGAGGAGCGGCGCGACGACGAACTTCATGGTCCCATCGCTTTCCACGGCACTTCTGCCACAACCGGGCCTCCGACCAGTCGGGACTGGTCCGCCGGCGCCCGGGCGCCCGCCGCCTCGACCTCGACGCTTTGGCATACGCCTCATCGTCGAGGGCGCCGCGCCGCCACAAAGAGATGTGGCTCTATCCGTTTCGGGACGCGCCCTACACGGAGATCAACGACGACGGCGCCATCCCCCGCCGGCGGGGCATCCTGGTCACGTCGGGCGTCCTCGTGACCGTCGCCGTCGCCGTCGTCGCCCTCCGCACGCCCCGCCCCGCGGGCCTCGCCACCGCGGCCGCCGAGTCGGCGCCCCGGTGCGTCGCCGACGGCGACGGCGACTACGTGACCTGCACGTCGCCCGGGCGCGCATTTTTGGCGGTCCCCGCGGTCCGCGACTTCTTCCGCGCGCGGAACGTGAGCGACGACGACGCCGCGGAGCAATACCTCCCCGCGGCGACGACGGCGCGCTTCTCGCCGTCGCGGCTCCGGGGCGACGCCGCCGATTTCCGCGTCGCCTTCGCGCTCTACCTGCCCGAGGCGTCGCGGTCCGTGTACGCGAGCTACCTCGTCGTCTTCCGCGGCGACGGGACGTTGCTCGCGGCCGCGCCGACGGACGGCCTCGACGACGGCCCCGGGTCGACGCACTTCGACGCCGTGAAGCTCGCGAGCGCGACGACGGTGCTCGCCTACTCGAACGTCTGGGACGAGGAGGCGGGCCGGCCCTACGTCTGGGACTTTTCCGACGGCGCCGCGCCGGAACCGCTCAACGAGTTGATCGCGGAGTCGAGCCACGACGTCCAGCTCGCCTGGGGCAACGACGGCGGCGAGGACGACGCCTACTGGTCGCCCGCGGTCTGGGGCGTGCAGAAGCGGCGGGCGCGCGACGGCGCGACGCTCGAGAAGCACTCCGTGGACGGCTGCGTCGACGCGAACCACGCGCAGCTCCTTAAAGAGGACACGCTCGTTCTCGTGAGCTGCCGCGACAGCGACAGCGTCCTATTGTGGGACCTGGCGGCGGGCGCGCCCGTCTGGGTCGCCGGCGGCGCGAACTCGACGCTCAAATTGATCGACGAAGCGGGCGACGCGGTCGAGAGCCTGTGGTACGGGCAGCACAACGCGGAGCTCTTCGGCGAGTCGACGCTGCTCCTCTTCGACAACGCCCGGGGCGGGCCCTTCCCGGAGATCTCCAGCGTGAAGCGCGTGGCCATCGACGCGGCCGCGGGCACGGCGACGCTGGCGTGGTCCTACTCCCCCGTCGACGGCTACCCGACGGCCGCGCGGTTCCCCGCGGGCTACGCCGAGGTCTTCGGGGACGCGGACCTGCTCCCCGACGGCAACGTGCTGGCGACGTGGTGGCCGCGGCACCTCGCGCCGGCCGACGGAATAGCGTTCGACGCGCAGCTCGTCCAAATCACGCCGGAGAAGGACGTCGCGTGGTCGCTCGAGTTTTCCAACACGGGCCGCTTCGTCGGCGCCTGCGAGCGCATCGAGGACGACGGCTGCGAGCGGCTCGTGCGCGCGGGCTGGAAGGTCTACTCCGCGGAGCACTTCTACGACGGTCCGCGCGCGTCTCGCGCGACGCTCGACGGCTCGCGGCTCTCGTTTTTCGCGCACGCGCCCTTCAAGCGCAACGCCCAGGCGCCGGGCTCCTGGAGCCTCGAGACGGCCGCCGGGGGCGTCGTGGCGAGCGGCGAGCTCCAGTTTCCGGCGCATTTCCGCGAGGCCGCGTTCGAGGTCGACGCGCCGGCGGCGGTCGACGGCGCGCCCTACGTGCTCGCGGTCGCGGACGTCGACGGCCATCGGTTTTCCGTGGACGTGGATGTCGTCTCGTGAGGTAATCCTAGTGGCTTGTGGGCTTCTGGCGGAGTCCGGCGTCGCGGACGAGGCGCGACGGGTCCGCCCGTTGCAAAGGTGCACCAAATCGGCCCGACTGCTCAATCGATATGGACGACGCCGTTGGCTGCAGGATGGAGACGAATTGGGTGGAAACGGACGTGTTGCTGAGCCCGCAGCGCGCACGCGCGCGCGGCGACGACGGCGGCGCGAACGACGCGCTGCGCACGGTGTCGAAAAAGCGGCCGCGGTCCGTCGACGGCGCGCACTCCACCGACGCGAAGCGCACGCACGTCGTCACGCCCGACGATCGCTTCGTGCCGTCCATCGGCGTCGACGTCGAGCGCGCGTGCCGCGAGTCGCGCGCGCGGGCGACGCTCGCGCCCGAGCCGCGGCGCGACGACGGCGCCGCGCGCTTCGAGGCGCTCCGCAGCGGCGCCGCGCACTTCTCCGTCGAGCGCGACGACCGCGAGAAGCGGGCGTCGGCGCTGTCGGCGCTCCTCAGCCCGCAGAAGGCGCGCGTCTTCGCGGCGCCCGCGGGCTCGCGCGCGACGGAGCCGGCGTTCGGCGCGGGCCCCGCGACCCCTCGGACGCAGCCCCTCGCGTCGAACTTCAGCGCCGTGCCCCACGCGATCCTGGACGCGCCGGACATCAACGACGACTTCTACTGCAACGTGCTGTCGTGGAGCGCGAAGGACCACATCGCCATCGGCCTGGGCTCCGACGTCTCCGCCGGCGTCCCGCGACGACGTTCGAGAGATTTTGGCTGGGAAAGATCGACGCACCCCTTAGGTCTACACGATGGACGCGGTGCGCACGAACTACGCCTTTTCGACGGACCGCAGCGTGCGGCGGCTCTGCGACATGGGCGACGACGTCACGGCCGTTTCCTGGGCGCCGCGCGGCGACCACGTCGCCGTCGCGGCGCACGGCGGCGGCGACGCGGCGCTCATGGTCTTCGACTTCGAGACGGGCGCGCCCGTGCGCGATCTGGGCTGGGTCCACGACGGCCGCTGCGGCGTCCTCGCGTGGAACCCGGAGACGCGGACGCTGACGACGGGGTCGCGCGACAGCTGCATCTGGGACCTGGACCTGCGGTGCCCCGGCTTCCCGAAGACGGCGCTGCGGTCCAAGCACACGCAGGAGGTCTGCGGGTTGGCGTGGAGCCCCGACGGGCGGACGCTCGCCTCCGGCGGCAACGAGAACCTGCTGTGCCTCTGGGACGCGCGCTGCTCGCGGCCGGAGCCCCGCGTCGCCTCCAAGGCCCACGCCGCGGCCGTCAAGGCCATCGCCTGGTCCCCGGACAAGCGGTCGCTCCTCGCGACGGGCGGCGGCACGCTGGACCAGACCGTGAAGCTCTGGAACGCGTCGTCGGGCGCCGTGCTCGAGTCGAAAGCGACAGGCACGCAGGTCACGGGCCTCGCGTGGTCCAAGGACACGGGCCAGCTCCTGTCGTCGCACGGCTTCTCGCAGAACCAGCTCTGCGTCTGGCGCTGGGACGCGGCGAAACGGTCCCTGGACAAGCTCATCGAGATGCGCAAGCACACGGCGCGCGTGCTCGCGCTCGCGCAGTCGCCGGACTTCTCGCGCGTCGCGTCCGTGGGCTCCGACGAGGTCCTCATGATCTGGAGCGTCTTCGACGCGCGCGCGGACGCGGGCCGGGGCGCGCTCGTCGGCAAGCACCGCGACGTCCGCCGCTGGGACCCCGTCTTCGCCGGCGGCGCGGGGCTAAGGTGACGCGGACTCTTACGCGCCGTCGAGGCTGGCCGCCTTCGTCGTCGCCGGCGGCGCGGGGCTATGTGAATTGTTACGCGCTATCGAGGAAGGCCGTCACCGTCTTCGTCCACGCGTCCCGGGACGTGTCGAGGACGTGGGCGACGTGGTCCGCGGTGTCGATGGTCGCGAACTCCTTCCGAGCCGCGCCGAGCTTCGCAAAGAGGGCCCGCTGCTCCTTCACGGGCGCCTCGGGGTCGCGGTCGCCGTGGACGACGAGCGTCGGGCACGTGATCGCGGCGAGGTCGACCTCGAACTCCTGCAGGTCCGCCCAGTCGACGCAGATCGGGTCCGCCTCGAGCGCGCACAGCCCGAAGGCCATGGCCTTCTCCTCGGAGATGGACCCGGGGATCGTGAAGTCGCTCAGGCAGTTCTCGAGGCTCTGCGGGCCCCGCGCGTTCGGCGCCGAGCAGCCGAACTCGTCGCACGTCCACTTGCTAAACTCCGAGCAGTACTCGCCCGCCTCGTCCCAGACGGACGCGTACAGCACGAGCCGGTCCGCAACGTCGGCGACGAGCTGCGCGACGAGGGCGCCGTAGCTCCAGCCGACGACGTCGACGGCGTCGTAGCCCCGGCTCCGCAGCGCCGCGACGACGGTCCGGACGTCGTCGGCGCACGTCGACGGTCTTAATAGAGAATCCGCGCCGCGCTCCGGCGTGCGGCCGAAGCCGCGGAAGTCCATGGCGTAGTGGTCCCGGTCGCCGAGCGCGCCGAGCACGCCCGTCTCGCGCCACACGGGCTCGCTGCTCCACGTCCGCCCGTGGAGCAAAAGCACGGCGCGGCTCCGCGGCGCCGCGCCCGACGCCTCGAGGACGCTCAGGCGGTAGCCGTCGCTCGACGTCACGCCGAACTCGGTGATGGTCGTCGGCGCCTTCGTCGCCGAGAAGGCGGACGCCGTGGCGACGACGGACAGGAACCTCAGCGCCGCGCGCGTCAGGAACAGGGGTGGCGTGTCGCAGGGCGCTGCGTAGGCGGACACCGTCGCGACGAGCGCCAGGAGCTGCATGAGCAGCCGCGTCGATGGCATCGCGTGATGGACGCGGCGGACGCCCGCGCCGACGACGACGAGTTCAATCGCGGCCTTGGATTCGGCGATTGGCCGATCCTGCGGCAGTCGTCTCCGGCTTTGAGCTGGCCACGAGCGCTGCCGCCGATCGTCGTGCTTGCTGCAAAGTGCTCCTCGCAGCGCACCGGCGCAGCGCCACAATGCCCTCGCCGCTGCCCGCAGCGCGCCGCACCACCATTCGCCTGCTCCCGCTCCTGGTCGCCGGCGCCTCGTCCCTCGCCGTCTCGCCGCTGGACGTCGCGACGTCGGGGCTCGCGTCCATGGCGCGCATGCCCTTCGCCGTGGGCCAGTCGACGACGGTGCTCGAGGGCCTCGCGCCCTACGAGTCGCCGGAATCGCTGCCGAAGCTCTACGAGTTCGAGGCGTGCCCGTTCTGCCGGCGCGCGCGCGAGGCCGTCACGGCCCTGGACCTCGAGGTCGAGATCTACCCCTGCGGCCGCGGGTCGCGGCACCGCGCCGCGGCCAGGGCGCTCGGCGGCAAGGAGCAGTTCCCGCTGCTCGTCGACGGCGAGCGGGTGCTCTACGAGTCCGAGGCCATCGTCGCGTACCTCGCGGCCAAGCGCGGCGCGGCGCCGGAGGCGCTCGCGGACGGCGGCGGCGCGGCGCCGTCGCTCGCGGCGACGGCGCTCCGCTTCGGCCGCGGCGCCGCCGTGTCGCCCGCGGCGCCCGCGGCGGCGCCGGCGAAGCTGCTCGAGCTCTACTCCTACGACGGGAACCAGTTCTGCCGCCTCGTGCGCGAGGCGCTGTGCGAGCTCGACATCCCCTACGTCCTGCGGTCGGCGGGCAAGGGCAGCCCGCGCCGCGCGGCCCTCGAGGCGCTCGCCGGGAGCAGCCGGTGCCCGTACCTCGTCGACCCGAACACGGGCGCCGCGCTCGGCGAGTCCGCGGACATCGTCGACTACCTGCGGACGACCTACGGCGCCGCCGCGGCGCCGCCCTCGCCGAAGGACGAGCTCCTGGCCCTGTGCCGCGCGACGACGAGCGGCGTCATGGACGACCGGGACCGCTTCGACGAGCTCCTGGCGCTCCTCGAGGCCGCGAACCCGACGCCGCGCCCCGCGGAGAGCCCGCTCTTCTCCGGCGCCTGGGACCTGCTCTGGACGACGGAGCGCGAGCTGAACTTCGCCATGGACAAGGGCCTCTTCGCCGCGGGGCCCTGCACGGGCGTGTCCCAGACCATCGACGTGGCCGCGGGCGACCTCGAGAACACGGTCCTCTTCGACAACGACTCGAAGCTCTTCGTCGGCTCGTCCATCGCGCCGAGCCCGGACGACGCCGCGGGCCGGCGCTTCGACTTCAAGTTCTCGTCCTGCTACCTCCAGTGGCGCGGCACCAAGGTGCCGCTGCCGCCCGTCGGCGAGGGCTGGGGCGACATCCTCTACCTCGACGACACGCTGCGGGTCCAGCGCGACATCCGCGGAGACCTCCTCATCGCGACGCGGGCGACGAAGTAACGTTGTGAGCACGAGCCCGATCGCAGTCACGTTCGAACGCGAGCACGAGCTCGACCGAAGTCACGTTAGAACGTGAGCACGAGCTCGACCGAAGTCACGTTAGAACGTGAGCACGAGCTCGACTTCGCTCGCGTACGCGTTCTCGTAGCCGCCGATCGGCGCGGCCGGATTGGCGTGGTCGTTCTCGAACGCCGTGAAGAATAACGTGAAGAAGTTGTCGCGCTCCTCGTGCTCGACGAGCGCGAGCGGCGTGCGAAAGGCCACGTGCCCCGGCGGCGACACGGGGATCATGTAGCCGGCCTTGCCCGTGCGGATGCCGCCGCCCGTGTTGTCCTCCCAGTTGACGCCGTCCTTGGACCACGCGAAGGCCAGGCCGTGCTCGACCTGGAGCAGATTCGCCGCCCAGATCAGGAGGTAGACGCCCGACCGCGATTTGAAGACCAGCGGGTTCTCGGGTCCGCCGTCGGACCAGTTGCCGATGGGCCGCGGGTTGCCCGTCGGCGCGCGCGTCCAGGGGCCGAGCACGCCGGCGTCCGAGTAGCACTGGCCCGTGTCCCAGCCGCTCCCGTAGAACGCCCAGAGCCGGCCCGGCGGATCGTCCGGGAGCGCGCTGCGGTACCTATCGATGCGCGTGTCCGGGCGAGCATGCCCGTCGGCGGACGCTGCGCATGGTACGACGGCGAGAACGAGCAGATGGCGTCCTCGACGATCCGCTCCGGGAAGGAGCAGTTGTTGCCCCCCGTCTTGAACGCGCAGGGCAGCCCTCGCGGGTAGCCCCAGTCCTCCCAGGCCTGGGCGCCCGCCTACCAAGCACGTCGGTGACGATTGTTCGTCGTTTCCCCGGTCAAATGCTCTCGAAAATCGTCACGGCCGCAGGACGCTGGCGCCCGCCATCGGCACGAGCCCGTCCGCTTTCAAGATGTCGTCGAGCTCCTCGTAGGGGCCGTCGATGCCGCCCCGGCCGGCGGTCGCGCTGCGGAACATGAGGATGCGACCGTCCGTGCCGCCCGCCTTGTCCTCGCAGTCCTCGTTGTACCCCACGACCGACATGTACCACCGCCCCTCCGGCTCGCCGGGCCGCGGCGCCTCCCACTGGGGCGACCCGCTCCAGAGCTTCGCGTGGTGGTCGTCGACGTCGCAGACGCCGTGGCCGTAGGGCGTGACGCCGCCGCGGAACGTCCACGTCAGGTTGTCGTCGAGCGGCGCGGTGAAGTGGACGACGCGCGTCTTCGTCCAGCCGCAGTGCATCTCCGTCGGGAACATGTGGAGCATGCCGTCGACGACGACGATGGTACCGTCCTCGACGCCGAGCGTGTTGTTGCCGACTTTGGGCACCATGCCCGGCGTCGAGCCGTTCAGGATGGGCACGACGCCGCCGGAGAGATAGCGCAGCGTCGCGTTGGTAACGGATGTCGCGCTGCTCTCGCGCCAGGTCGCATCATTCGCGCTGCTCTCGTGCCAGGTCGCATCATTTGCAGCGACATTTGCAGCGGCCTGGCACGAGAGCAGCGCGAGGAGCATCGCGCGTTCTGGGCTGCCCATTTTGTCGCGAGCGAATGTTCAAGGACGAGTCAACGGAGTTCAAGTATCACCAAACGGACATATCTAACGGACATCCGCCAAGCATTGTGCATTCCTCGGGCAGCCTCTTCGTGCGCAACGCGAGACAATGGGATTTGGGGGGATGCACGGGCGTACGAAAAGAGCGAAGACGATTCATACGCAAATAAAAAACGCCAATGCGGCTAAACGACGCGAAGACGCGAAAAAAAAACGCACGAAGGCGCTCATGGACCGGTTCTTGGAGGTCCAGGGGGCGGCGGGGGGCGGGGTCGACGAGGCGGGCCTTCGCCAGGTGCTCGACGAGCGCGTCGCGCACATGTTTCTGCCGCGGGAGAAGCGCCTGGGCTTCCGCGCCGAGAGCTACGCGTGCTCGGCGGACGCCGCGAAGTACGTCATGGCGCGCGTGACGACGGCGCGGGGCGGCGCCGCGGCGTATTCGGCGCCCGCCTCGGCGGCCCCGGTCGCGTGCGCCGTCGCCCTCGACCCCGGCGCCGCCGCCGTCGACCCCGCGGGCTTCGTCGTCGCGGGATTCGCCGTCGATGCCGGGGCGAGGATACGCGCGGACGACCTCGAGGCGGTCGCGCGGTGGTTCTCCTACTGGTCCGCGCGGGAGGACGACGTCGACGAGATCTTCCGCACGCACGACGTCGACTCGAGCGGCGCCTGGAGTCGGAACGAGCTCTGGGCGGCGCTACTCGCCGTCGAGGAGGCGCGGCGCCCGGCGAAGACGGCGCCGATCGAACTCACGGTCGAGACGTTCCAGCACGTCGCCGGCGAGGCCGACTTGGACGTCGACGGCGTACTCGACCGCGCCGAGGTGCTCTGGGCCCTCACGCTCTGGGACCAGATCCTCGCGGAGGCGCGGACCCGGAAGAGCGCCGCCTGCGCGGTCGCGTAAACGAACACACAACCTAGCCCGCCGTGGACGCCATCGCCATCCGCGCCAGGCGCGTCCCCCGAGAGCGGGGCGCCGTCGCCGGGCGCCGCGTCGCGCGCGCGCTCGAGGACGTAGCTGAACGCGCCGCGCTCCCTCCCGATCCAGGAGAACTTCCCCACCCAGCTCAAACGACCGTCCGGCAGGTGCCTCAGCGCGCCGACGTAGGTGTACGCGCCCACGCTTCGCTCGACGCGCTCCTTCCAGGCCAAGGCCCAGAGCCGCTTGCCCGCGCTCGGCGAGATGTCCGCGCAGAGGTTGCCCATGCCCGTGCCCTCGAGGCTCGCGCCGTCGCCCTGGCGCGCGTGGCGCACGCAGCCCGTGAAGAAGTGGGTCTCGTCGAAGACCAGCGTGCCGCGCGAGCTCACCTGGGCAGGACAAGAGTGCGAAATTCCCAACTTCAAAGGCTCCTCTCTCGGCCATTTTCCACTCGTTTCGGCTGATTTTTGGACGAGCGATCATCTCTCGGAACGGTCTCGAAGTGTGGATGCTTTTTCCAGAACGCGCGCGCGCGGAACACTCACGTTGAAGCGACGTTGAATCACCCTTGTCCTGCCCTGGACCTCACGCGGCCCTTGCGGTCGACGCTGTGCCCCTCGTAGCGGAAGACGCCCGGCACGACGGCCAGGTCCCGGCGCCGCGCGCCCGCGCGCTCGTAGAGCAGGTTCTCGTAGGACGTGAAGGGCCTCGGCTGCTTGAGCCGGAAGAGAGATTTCCGCCCGTATTTGGCCTCGAAGATGCGCCGGAACGGGGCGTCGCCGAGCAGCTGCCGCGCCTGGCGCGCGGCGCCGACGGCGGCCAGGTCCAGGAAGCGCGCGACGGCGTCCTTCAGCTCGTCCGGCAGGTCCGCGAAGCGCATCGGCACGGAGCGGCCAGCCACGGGGGAGGTCGAACTGTGGGCCATTTGCAGGCCGAGCGGGCTGCCCGGTTGCACCTCGTGTTGAGGTTAACGATACTAGATTGCAGTAAACTAGAAGGAACGGGGAATGATGGTGAGTGATCGAGGGCAGCCCACGCGATCGCCGGAGTGACTCGTGCGGCCGGGGCCGCCGGCGTGAAGCGTGATGCTCCGCCTGCTCCTCGCGTGCTGCGCCGTCGCCGCGGGCCTCGACTTCGTCGCGCACGAGCTCGAGGCATTCGGCACAAACTACCACTACGCCGCCGTCGTCGTCGACGTCGACGGCGACGGCGGCAACGACGCGCTCGCCGCGAGCTACGTGCGGGGCGAGATCTACTGGTACGATCCGGCGGCGGGCTCGGTCCGGCTGGACATCGTCGGCGACGAGGCCCGCGGCCTCGTCTTCTCGGTCTTCGCCGCGGACGTCGACGGCGACGGCGACGTCGACGTCGTCGCGGGCTCCGTCGGCGCCGGCGACCTCGGCTGGTACGCGAACGACGGGTCCGAGCAGTTCGCCTACGCGCACATCGCCGACGCCGCGGGCCCCTACACGGTCGCGGCCGCGGACGTCGACGGCGACGGCGCCGTCGAGTTCGTCGCCGTCGCGTTCAACGACGACGCGGTCGCCTGGTACGAGGCCGAGGGGACGACTTACGTCGTCGCGGCCGCCGCCTACGGCGCCTACTCCGTCCACGCCGCCGACGTCGACGGCGACGGCGACCTCGACCTGGTCGCGGCCTCTTACTCGGACGACACGGTGCGCTACTTCGCGAACGACGGCGCCGGGAACTTCGACGCCGAAGTGGTCGTCGACGGCGACGCCGACGGCGCGATCCACGTCGGCGCCGCGGACGTCGACGCCGACGGCGCGCCCGACGTGCTGGCCGTCGCGGCGAGCGACTTCGCGTTCCTCTGGTACGAGAACGGGCTGCCCTACGCGGGCTTCGCGAAACACACCGCGACCGCGGGCGCGGGCACGGCGCGGTCCCTCGCCGCGGCGGACCTCGACGGCGACGGCGACGTCGACCTCCTCCCCGCAGAGTTCAGCGTCTACCACAACTACTGGCTCGAGCACGACCTGGACTCGTACGGCGACGTCGCCTTCACCGCGCGGGCCCTCGGCGACGCGCTCGAGAGCGGGCAGTCGCCGGCCGTCGCCGCGCCCGGCGACCTCGACGGCGACGGCGACGTCGACGCGCTCGTCGGCGGCGTGTCGTCCGGCGCGGGCGGCTTCCTGGCCTGGTACGAGAACGGCGCCGTCACGGCCCCGCCGACGCCGCGGCCGACGGCGTCCTGCGCGGCCGTCGCCTTCGCCGAGCGCGTCGTGTCGACGGCCTCGCCGGGCCCCCGCGCCGTCCGCGCGGTCGACGTCGACGGCGACGGCGACGCGGACGCGCTGGCCTCGTTCACGGACGACGCCGTCGCGTGGTACGAGAACGACGGCTCGCAGTCCTTCGCGGCGCGCGACGTCGGCGACGACTCCCCCAGCGCGGCGGCCGTCGCGGCCGTCGACGTCGACGGCGACGGCGACCTCGACGTGCTGACGGTGAACGGCAACGACGACGCGGTGCTCTGGTACGAGAACGACGGGTCCCAGTCTTTCACGAAGCGCGTCATCACGACGCTCGCGGAGAACGCCGTCGCCGCCGCCGGCGTCGACGTGGACGGCGACGGCGACGTCGACGTGGTCGCGGCGTCGATGCTCGACGACACGGTGGCCTGGCACGCGAACGACGGGTCCCAGTCCTTCACGGAGCGCATCGTCGCGACGACCCTCGCCTACGCCATCGACGTCGACGCGTCGGACGTCGACGGCGACGGCGACCTGGACCTAATCGTCGCGGCGTACGAAGCCAACGCCATCGTCTGGTTCGAGAACGACGGGTCCGAGTCCTTCTCGCACCACGTCATCACGGCGGCCGCGACCGGCGCCACGGACGTCGTCCACGTCGACCTCGACGGCGACGGCGACGTCGACGCGCTTGCCGCGTCGACCGACGACGACACGATCGCGTGGTACGAGAACGACGGCTCCCAGTCGTTCACCGAGCGCATCATCACGACGCTCGCCGACGGCGCCATGTCCGTCTTCCCCGTCGACATCGACGGCGACGGCGACGTCGACGTGCTGGCCGCGTCCTACTACGACGACACGGTCGCGTGGTACGAGAACGACGGCGCCGACGGCGGCGCCGAGCACGTCGTCACGACGCTCGCGGCCGGCGCCCGGTTCGTCTTCGCGCTCGACGTCGACGGCGACGGCGACGTCGACGCGCTGTCCGCGTCCATCAAGAACGACACGGTCGCGTGGTACGAGAACGACTGCGCGTCGCACGCGCCGACCGCGGCGCCCGCGGCCGCTCCGACGCCTCGGCCGACGATCACCTGCGCGTCCGTCGCCTTCGCGGAGCACATCGTCGCGACGACCGCCGGCGGCGGCAACTCGGTCTTCGCGATCGACGTCGACGCCGACGGCGACGTGGACGCGCTGGCGGCCTTCGCCGCCGACACGGTCGTCTGGTACGAGAACGACGGCTCCCAGTCCTTCACCGAGCACATCATCTCGTGGCTCGCGGACGACGCCGCCTCCGTCTTCGCCATCGACGTCGACGGCGACGGCGACGTCGACGCGCTGTCGGCGTCCAAACTTGACGACACGGTCGCGTGGTACGAGAACGACGGGTCCGAGTCCTTCTCCGAGCGGATCCTTACGACGGTCGCCGGCGCCGCCATGTCCGTCTTCGCGATCGACGTCGACGGCGACGGCGACGTCGACGTCCTGTCGGCGTCCGCCACGGACGACACGGTCGCGTGGTACGAGAACGACGGCTCCCAGTCCTTCACCGAACGCATGGTCACCAATATGGCGGACGGCGCCATGTCCGTCTTCGCAATCGACGTCGACGGCGACGGCGACGTGGACGTCCTGTCGGCATCCTACTACGACGACACGGTCGCGTGGTACGAGAACGGCGGCTCGCAGTCCTTCACGGAGCACGTCCTCACAAACTCGGCGAACGGCGCCTGGTTCGTCTCCGCCGCCGACGCCGACGGCGACGGCGACGTCGACGTCCTGTCGGCGGCTTACTTGGGCAACACGGTCGCGTGGCACGAGAACGGCGGCGGCGCGTTCGCGCAGATCGACGGCCATTGCGACGGTTACGCGTCCTTTGAGCGCATCTGCCCGTCGAGCGACGCGACCTGCGGCGGCTGGAGCGACTTCATCGTGGGACAGGGCGGCGCGGGCGACAGCTTGGTCGCGTGCCAGACGCGGTGCGCGGAAGCGAGCTGCGGAGGCATCTACTTCGACGACGCGCACGGCTGCGGGAACTACGACGCGTGCGCTGACTCGGGCGATGGCCAGAATTGGGGCGCAAGTTTCTACATCCGCGTGTCCAATGCCTTCACGGAGCGCGTCATCGCGACGCACGCGGTCTACGCCGTCTCCGTCTTCGCGATCGACGTCGACGGCGACGGCGACGTGGACGCGCTCTCTTCCACCAGTTCCGTGGCGACGTGGTACGAGAACGACGGCGCCCAGTCGTTCACGGAGCGCCTGATCTCGTCGGTCGGCGCCGGTTCCCTCGTCGCCATCGACGTCGACGCCGACGGCGACGTCGACGCGCTGTCGGTGTACGGCGACGGCGCTTCGGTCGCGTGGTACGAGAACGACTGCGGCACGTTCGCACCCACGAGCACGCTCGCTCCCACGACGGCGCCGACGACGACCCGCGCGCCCTCTCCCTCTCCGACGCCGCGGCCGATGGTCAGCTGCGCCAGCGTCTCCTTCGCCGGGCGCGTCGTCACCGACTCGGCGGACGGTGCCTACTCCGTCTTCGCCATCGACGTCGACGGCGACGACGACGTCGACGTGCTGTCGGCGTCCTACAGCGACAACACGGTCTCCTGGTACGAAAACGACGGGTCCCAGTCCTTCACGGAGCGCATCATCACGACGCTCGCGGACAACGTCCTGTCCGTCTTCGCCATCGACGTCGACGGCGACGGCGACGTCGACGCGCTGTCGGCGTCCTACATGGACGACACGGTCGCGTGGTACGAGAACGATGCGTCGGAGCCCTTTACCGAGCGCGTCATCACGTACACGGCAGACGCCGCCGATTCCGTCTACGCGATCGACGTCGACGGCGACGGCGACGCGGACGCGCTGTCGGCGTCCAAAACCGACGACACGGTCGCGTGGTACGAGAACGACGGGACCCAGTCGTTCACCGAGCGCGTCATCACGACGCTCGCCGACGGCGCCATGTCCGTCTTCCCCGTCGACATCGACGGCGACGGCGACGTCGACCTGCTGGCCGCGTCCCGCTACGACGACACGGTCGCGTGGTACGAGAACGGCGATGCGCAGTCCTTCACGGAGCGCATCATCTCTACCACGGCGGACTTTGCCACCTCCGTCTTCGCGATCGACGTCGACGGGGACGGCGACGTCGACGTGCTTTCAGCCTCCGGCTCCGACAACACGGTCGCCTGGTACGAGAACGACGGCGCCCAGTCCTTCACGAAGCGCATCATCTCGGCATCCGCCGGCGGGGCCTATGCCGTCTTCGCGATCGACCTCGATGGCGACGGCGATGTCGACCCGCTCTCGGCGTCTCCCAGCGACGACACGGTCGCGTGGTACGAGAACGACGGGTCGCAGTCCTTCACGGAGCGCGTCTTTGGCACACCGGACCGCCCCCGCTCCGTCTACGCCATCGACGTCGACGGCGACGGCGATGTCGACGCGCTCTCGGCGTCCGCCGACGACGACACGGTCGCGTGGTACGAGGACGACTGCGAGACGGCCGCGCCTACGGCGGTGCCGTCTGCCGAGACGGCCGCGCCTACGGCGGTGCCGTCTGCGAGTACCACGCCGACGACGAGCCTCGCGCCGACGAGCGCTGCCCCAACGCCGCGGCCGACGACTTTCTGCACGAGCGTCTCATTTTTACAGCACACCATCAGCAACTCGGCGACGGGCGCCTTTGGCGTTTACGCGTTCGACGTCGACGGCGACGGCGTCGACGATGTCCTGTCGGCGTCCTACAGCGACGACACCGTCGCGTGGTTCGAGAACGACGGCTCCCAGTCCTTCACCGAGCGCATCCTCACCACGCTGGCAGAAGGGGCCCGAAACGTCTTCGCGATCGACGTGGACGGCGACGGCGACGCGGACGCGCTCTCGGCGTCCAACGGGGACGACACGGTCGCGTGGTACGAGAACGACGGGTCCCAGTCCTTCGCGGAACGCGTCATTACGACGCTCGCGGACGCCGCCCAATCAGTGTTTGCCATCGACGTGGACGGCGACGGCGACGTGGACGCCCTCTCGGCGAGTTTCGTCGACGACACGGTCGCGTGGTACGAAAACGACGGGGCCCAGGCCTTCGCAAAGGCCGACCTCACGAGTTCGGCGGATGACGTCCGCAGCGTCGTCGCGATCGACGTGGACGGCGACGGCGACGTCGACGTGCTCTCGGCGTCCCAGCTAGACAACACGATCGCGTGGTACGAGAACGACGGGTCGCAGAGCTTTACGGCGCGCGTCGTCACGAACGCGGCGGACGCCGCCTACTCCGTCTTCGCGATCGACGTGGACGGCGACGGCGACGCGGACGCGCTCTCGGCGTCCGCCGACGACGACACGGTGGCGTGGTACGAGAACGACGGGTCCCAGTCCTTCGCAGAGCTGGTTATTGCGGACGCGGCGGACCAAGCCAACACTGTCTTCGCGTTCGACGTCGACGGCGACGGCGACATCGACGCGCTGTCGTCGTCCTACGGCGACGACACGGTCTCCTGGTACGAAAACGACGGCTCGCAGTCCTTCACGACCCGCATCATCACGACGTTGGCGGACGGCGCCCACTCCGTTGCCGCAGCCGACGTCGACGGCGACGGCGACGCGGACGCGCTGTCCGCGGCCTACGGCGCCGGCGCGATCGCGTGGCACGAGAACGAGTGCGCGACGCGCGCGCCGACGGCGACGCCGACGGCGGCCGCGTCGCCGGCGCCGACGACGGCCGCGCCCGTCGCCGCGGACGCGCCGAGCGCCGCGCCGACGCCGACGCCCTGCGACGCCGTCGCGGCCGGGTCCTACGCGGGGCCGCCGCCGCGTTTGGCCGCCGCGGCGTTCACGAGCACGGGCGCGGCGCTGACGGTCGCCTTCGACGCGCCGACGGACCTCGGCGGCTTCGCCGCGGGCGAGGCCTTTGGCTGCGCGGCGCTGCTCGACATGGCCGACGGCGATGTGGCGCAGTGCGACTGGACGGACGCGTCGACGCTCAACGTCCTCGTGTCGTCGGCGCTCGCCGTCGTCCCCGGCGTCACCGTCGCGCTCAAGCCCGGCGTGCTCAAGGCGCCCTGCGACGACGCCGTATTTTCGCGCTGCGACTGCGTGCCCTGTGCGTCGAACTCGTCCGCGGTCCTCGCGCCGCCGGCGACGCCGCTCGTGCCGAGCGTCGTGCTCCAGGGGCCGACGTCCGCGGCCGTCTGCGAGGGCGGCTTCGAGGTCTCCGGCGACCAGTCCACGGGCTCCGGCGGCCGCGCCTTCGTCGTCCGCGACTGGAACGCGACGTGCGTCGGCGCGGGCGGGATCGCGGCCGCGGTCGAAAACGCGGCCGCGGACCCGGCGACCTTCGCCGTCGCGTCGGCGACGCTGTCGTCCCTGGGCTGCGAGGCCGTGACCCTGACGCTCACGCTGGCCAACTTCCTCGGCTTTTCCGCGACGAGCGCCGCGCACGCCGTCGCCGTCCGGCACGACACGCCGCCCGTCGTCACGGTCGTCGGCGGCCTGCGCCAGGCGACGGCGCGGCCCCAGGCGCTGAGCGTCACGGCGAGCGCGCTGGCGACGTCCTGCGACGGCCGCGCGGCCCGGGACCGCGCCGTCGTCTACGACTGGGCCCTCGCGGGCGGCCTCGCGTCGACGTCGCGCGACCCCCGCTACTTCAAGCTGCCGCCCTTCGCGTTGAGCGTGGGCACGCACGCGCTCACGCTCGTCGTGCGCGACGCCCAGCACGCGGCGTCGAACACGTCGACGGCGCTCAGCGTCGTCGTCGCGCGGTCGGCCGTCGTCGCCGTCGTCGACGGCGGCGACCGCGTCGTCCCCGCGTCGTCCCCGCTCCGCCTCTCGGCGTCCGAGTCCTACGACGAGGACGTCCCCGGCGCGACGGGCGCAAACGCGGGGCTCGCGTTCACCTGGACCTGCGACGAGCTCGTGTTGGAGGACGCGACGGGCGAGGCGCTCGACGTGTCGCTGGACGCGGGGCTCTACACGTTCCGCGTCAACGCGACGGCGGCCGACGGGACGCACGGCGCGGCGACGGCGCTCATCGACGTCGTCGCCGCGGACCCGCCGCGCGTCGCCGCGTCCGCGGTGCCGCCGCGCGTCGCGTCTACTCTGCGGCTGTCGCTGTCGGGCGACGTGGACCCGTCGAGCCTCGGGCGCGCCGTCGACGCCGCGCTCGGCCTCAACAGCACCTGGGCCGTCGTCGCCGGCGCCCTCGCCGACGGCGCGGCCCTGGAGGCCGTCGCGGCGACGCGGCCGGCCGTCCGCGGGCCCGCGCGGCCGCGGACGCACGCGCTCGTGCTCCCCAAGGGGGCCCTCGTCGCCGGCGGCGCCTACGCGCTCGAGCTCTCGGCGACCTACGGCGGCTCGGCCGTCGCCGGCGCCGCGCGCGTCGCCTTCGTCGCCGCCGCGCCGCCGACGAGCGGCGTCGTCGTCGCGGCGCCGGAGTCCGGGGTCGCGCTCGAGACGCTCTTCGCGCTCGAGACGCGGTCCTGGGTCACCGCGGACGCGCCGCTGACCTACGCCTTCAAGGCCGGCGGCGCGACGCTGCGCGCGCCGACGCTCGAGCCCCAGCTCGAGGGCGTCGTCCTCAAGGAGGGCGCCGTCGTCGTCGCCGTCGTCGCCTACGACAGCCTCGGCGGCTCGAGCGGCGCCGAGACGGTCGTGCTCTGCGCGCCGCCGGCGCCGGAGACCCTCGCGGCCCTCGCGGCGGACCGCCTCGACGAGGCCGCGGCCCTGGGCAACTCGGAGGCCGTCGCGCAGACCGTCGTCGCCGCGGCGGGCGCCGCGGACCCGAGTTTGCTGTCGACGCTCCTCGAGGCCATGGACGCCGTCGTCGACGCCCTCGACGACGACGCCGCGCTCCTCGAGCAGAGCGCGTCGGCCGTCGCGGCGGCCGCGGCGGCCGACGGCGGCGTCCTGCTCGGCGAGGCCGCCGCGGCGACGGCGCTCAACGCGACGGCGAAAGTCGCGGCGCGGTCGCGCGCCGTCGGCTTCGCGGAGACGACGGCCGAGTCCTGCGTCGTGGCCATGAGCGCGCTGCTCGACAACGACGACGCGCGCCGGCGCCGGCGGCTGAACATCGAGGCGCCCGCGGAGCCGTCGGCGACGCGCGTCGCCGTCGCGGCCGTGCTCGACGACGTCGCCGTCGCGGCGACCGCCGGCGCCGTCGCCGGCGAGGACCCCGTGGTCGTCTCCTCGGACCGCATCGACGTGACCAGCGCGGCGCTCCCGCTGAACGCGACGCCCGGCGTGCCCAACGCGGTGTCGAGCCCGCGCGGCGGCCGCGCCGTCGCGCTCCCGGACGCCATCGGCGGGCCCGGCGACGCCGTCGTCGTCGTCCTCGCGGACCTCTACGACGACGACGTCGCCCGCGAGGACGACGACGACGGCGGCGACGTCGCCCGCGAGGACGACGACGACGGCGCGCCGTCGCCGGCGCCGTCGTCGAAGCCGTCGCCGCGGCCGTCGCCGAAGCCGTCGTCTCGATCGCCGACGCGGTCTCCGTCGTCCGCGTCGACGACCCTAGTCCCGTCGTCGGCGCCGACGTCGCTCGCGCCGTCGTCCGCGTCGCCGACGCTCGCGCCGTCGTCCGCGCCGACGCGGTCGCCGACGGTCGCGCCGTCGCTCGCGCCGCGGCCCGGGGCCACGACGCACTTCGGCGTCTTCGGCGGCGGCAACGAGTCGCTGCGCGTGCGCCTCGACCTCGCCCGGGCCTCGACGCTCGCCGAGGGCAGGGAGACGGCGAACCTGACCTGCCCCTGCGGTTTCGTCGGCGACGTGAACCACACGTGCGCCGACGGCGCGGTCGTATCGCAGCACTGCGACGGCGCGGCGGGCGCCTTCGAGCTGCGCTGCCCCGGCGAGAAACACCGCTGCTTCCGGCGCAGGAAGGACGGCGACTGGGGCAAGGCCTGCGAGACGTCGACGAGCGACACGGGCGTCGTGTCGTGCGCGTGCGCCGCGCGGGTCAACCGGCCCGGCGACTACCGCGTCGAGACGGACGCCGTCGCGTCGTCGGCGGCCTACGTCGGCTCCTTCGTGTCCGTGCCGGACCTGGGCCGGTCCGCGGCGATCCTGCTCGCGCTCCTGGGCCTCGCGGCCGCGGTCGGCCTCGTCGCGGCGGGCGGCCGCGTCCTGGATCGGCGGGACGCCGCGGTGCCGCCGCCGTCGCTGCGGTCGCGCATGCTCAGGAAGCAGCGCGACGACTTCGGCGCGTCGACGGACCAGCTCGCGTACTTCGGGTCGCGCGAGTCGCTCGACGTCATCGTCGAGGCGTCGTTCTTCGCCAAGGCGACGACGCTGCTCAAGAAGAACCACGCGCTCCTCAACATCTACTACGTCCACTCCGACGGCCTGTCGCGGCCCCTGCGCGCGCTCAAGCTCGGCGTCGAGATCTTGCTCTTCCTGTGGGGCGTCGCGCTTTCGACCGCGATGACGTACCCGGACCCGGGCTGCGACGGCGAAAGCACGCGGCGGGGCTGCCTCCAGTACGTGAACCTGAACCCGGGCGGCGTCTTCAAGACGCGGCGCATGTGCAAGTGGGACCGCTGCAGCGGGTCCTGCGTCTACCGCGCGCCGAACGCGACCGCGACGGCGACGACGGAGCACTATTTTACGCTGGCGCTGACCATGGCGCTCCTCCTCCCGCTCATCGCCGTCCTCGACGTCATCTTCGACACCTACGTCGCCGCGCCGTCGCCCTTCGCCCACGCGCGGGAGAAAGCCGGGGAGAAGCCGGAGGCGGAGAAGAGCCACCGCACGTTGGACGCGCTCGACGAGCCGAGCTTCAGCTTCGTGCCCGAGGGGCTCGCGCGGCCCGACGTCGACGCGGCCGTCGCGCGCCACTGCGAGACGCCCAAAGCGACGGCGCGGAAGCGGGCGAAGAAGTGGACGACCTACTTCCGGCGGCGCCTCGCGGCGTTCCGCCGCAACGTCGGCGAGAGTCTCGGCGAGACGCGGTCCCTGCGCCACAAATCCGCGGCGCTCGAGGAGACGGTGCGGAAGCTCGCCCCCGCCGTCGCCGAGGCCGTCGTCGCGCGCGACGAGGAGCTCCAGCGCGCCATCGACGGCGCCTTCGAGGAGAGCGCGCGCGTCTCGCTGAAGCGGCTCCGGAGCCGGCTCCGCAACGAGTGGGATTTCGTGGAGGACCGCGCGGTCTTCCGGGCCACGGTCAGGGCCATCCTCCAGCGGCACATCCTGCGGGCCCTGGTCTGGGACGAGGAGCTCAGCGCCATTAAAGGGGACACGCCGGAGAAGACGCGCGCGTTGAAGGGCGCGAAGCTCTTCGAACTCGAGCGCCTCTCGAAGCTCGGGCCCGCGGAGCGCAATATTTATCGTCATTCCATCACCTCCTTCGACGAGGACGCGGCCGTCGACGTGCCGACGAAGGCGCGGTACGTCGGAGCCATCGCCGCGGAAGTGGTCCTGCTGCTCTACATCGGCTTTTATCTGGTGGCCTACGGGTCCGACATGGGCCGGGGGCGCACGATCGTCTGGCTCTACACCGTGTCCGTGTCCCTGGCGCTCTACTACGCCGTCATCTCGCCCCTGGAGGTCTTGTTCTTCGGCTACGCGCTGCCGTCGCTCCTCGCGGAGCACTTCGAGAAGTTCGAGGATCCGACGTCGTTGTCGCGCTACCCCTTCGAGACGAAGCTGCCGTCCGTGGCGACCTACTTTTTAGCGCTGTGGCACGAGGAGCTCCACGAGACGAGGATAGGCCGCCACTGCCTGGGCACGCTCCACGAGGAGGCCCCCGACACGTCGCCGGAGGCGCTGAAGCGGATTCTAGCGGACGCGACGTGGCGGCCGACGCTTCAGGTCCGCGCGACGATCTTCCTCGTGTCGGGCTTCGTGACGCTACCCGTGTCCTGGCAGGAGGTCCTCTTCGAGGAGGTCTTCACGTTCACGCCCTTTTGCTCCCAGATCCTGACGGCCGTGGTCGGCGTCGACCTCACGGGCGGCGGGTCCTCGGGAAGGCGCGCCGTCGACGTGTCGACGATCGTGAACCTCGTCGGCGTCATCGTGCTGCTGTTTATCTCCATCACGCTCTGGCAGGGCGGCTCCGAGCTCGCGCGGCGCCTCTCCGTACGGTACCGTCGAGTTCCACCCCCGGACCACCGCGAGAAGTGGCACGAGCGCCGCGGCGATTCGACGCGCCGGGCCGCGACGCGGAAGCGCAACTCGGCCCTCGAGGACACGATGCGCTCCACGGGCCGGCGCCTCTCGACGATCATGAAGCACCGCGGCGTCGAACCCGCGGACGCCGCCGAAAAAGCGAAGCATCAGCGGGCCGCGGACGACTTCGCGGCCATCGAGATGGGCCGCGTGGCCGAAAAAGCGGCGGCGAAGCCGAAGCGCGCGTCCGCGCTCGTCGACTGGAGCCACACCGGGGGGTCCGGCGGGGACGCCGGCGCGGCGCCGCCGCCGCCGACGTTCAACCCGCTGAGCCCGCGGTCCGGCGACCCGACCCGCGTCGGCTGGGACGCCTTCGCCGCGGAGCCGGGCACGCCGATGACGGCCAACCCCATGAGCCCGCGGTCGCCGGGCACGCCGCGCACGCCCGGCGGCTCCAAGCGGAGGAACCCGGAGTGTCCGTACTAAAAACTACGTATATTCCACGTCGGAGATCTTGGTCCACTTGTGTCGCCGGTTCGTCTTGCCCTTGTGCGTGCGCTCGTAGCAGTTGAAGCAGAAGTCCATGTCGCAGTTCGCGCAGTGGCGCTGGGCCCACTCCTCGAGGCACTCGGCGCACTCCGGGCGGTTGATGGGCACGAAGGTGTGGTCCTTGCGCTTGCCCGGCCCGACGTGGACGAGGACCCAGCACGCGGCGCAGAACTGGTCGCCGCACTGGTCGCAGAGGCGGCTCGAGTCGTTGAGCTCGCACTCGGAGCAGCGCTGCTTCTCCTTGAGCGCGCGCCGCTCCTCGTCCGTCATGTGGAGCAGCGGGTTCGGCACGACCTCGCCGCTCTCGAGGTGCAGGTTCCCCTCCTTGTCGACGTAGCCTTGCGCGGGCTCGGAGACCTGGACCTCGCCCGTGTCCTCGTTCATGTAGACGTTGAGCTTCTCCTCCTCGGAGTAGACGGCCTTCCACTGCTTCGCGGCGGCGATCTGGCGGTCGCGCTTCTCCAGCTGGAGCCGGTAGAGCACCTTGCGCGCCGCGTAGGCCCGGCCGCACTGCTGGATGCGCCGCGCCATGACGAAGTCGCGCCGCTTGCGCTGCTGGATGCCCTTGGTCTGGATCTTCGTCATCGTCCGCGCGCGCTTCCCGCGCCAGAGCGCCTGCATCTTGATCGCCGCGTACTCGCGGGCGATGGCGTACTGCTTGGCCAGGAGCTGGAGCTTCTCCATGCGGTTGCAGACCATGCACATGCGGATGACGCTCTGGAAGCGCGTGACGATGCCGTCGACCCGCAGCTTCTCGCGGTAGTCGCGGAACTTCACGCGGCCGAGGTGGCCCCGCCAGACGCGCTGGATGCGGCACGTCGCCCAGAGCTCGTCGCGCTTCCGCCGCCGCACCTTCGCCCGGCGCCAGGCGCGGACGCAGCGGAAGAGGCACTGGATCCGCGCGCACATGTCGTAGATATATTTCTCCGTCCGCAGCCGCCGGAGCTCGTCGCGCGCGAAGCGCCGCCGCGCGAAGCACTGGATCACGATGGAGCGGCTCAGGCGCCGGTGCTGGTTGAGCACGACCCGGAAGCGCTTCACGGCCGCGCGCCGCCGCCATCCCGACTGGAGCCGCCGCGCGGCCGCGCGCTCGAGCGCCGCCTGCTTCGCCTGCTTGATGGCCTCCACGATCAACTTGGCCTGGTGCACGCGGAAGAGGTGCTGCAATTGAGACGCGATGACGGTCTGCAGGCCCACGCGCTCCTCGACGATGAGCCGCGCGACGACCTGCGTCCACCGGACCCAAAAAATCGCGTACGTCCGCTGGAGCGCCTCGTGCCAGAGCCAGGCCAGGCGCCGCGACCCCTGGTACCGCCGGTACTCGCGCTCCAGCGCGTGGCGCCGCGCGTCCTCGGCGGTCGTCCTCCAGCGGAGGAACGCGGCGCATCGGAGCGACGCGCCCACAGTTTCCAGAAATCGGAAGAGGTGCGTCGCGCCCCACTTCTTCATCTTCCCCGCGCCATCCCTCGAATCGACCATGAGGTCCATGCCCTTGGCCTCGCGCAGCAGGTCCTCGACGCGCCCGTCGGCCGCGCGCGCGTCCTCGAAGGCCGACGCGAGGCGGCCGACGGCGTCCGCGACGGGTTTCGCCGTGGACCCGCCGACGGCCTCCGCGCGGTCTAAAATCGACGACCAGTCGACGCGGCCGCTCGCGACGTCCGTGAGCGCCTCGTGGCGCGCCGGCGCGGACCGCGGCGCGTCTCGGGACGCGGCCGTCGCGGCGAGCGCGGCGTCGTCGAAGCGGACGGTCCGCGCGTCCGTCGCCGGCCGCGCGGCGTCCTCGAAGCGCACGCCCTGGCCCGTCGTCCGCGGCCGCGGCGCCACGGCGCGCTCCAGGTCGAGGACGTCGCGCTCGCTCAGGCCGCGCGCGGACCGGAAGGCGTCCATCTGCGCCCGCTCGCGCTCCCGGAGCGCGGCCTCGCCGGCGGTCGCCGCGCGCGGGAGCCGATTCACGAAGGGCGTGCCCGTCGACGCTTTCGGGAGTCGCAGCTCCGGGAAGCTCACGCCGCCGTCTGGCCGCTCGCCGAAGATTGTTTCGCCCGTGGACGCGAGGAGCGGCGCGAGCTCGAGCTTCGCGCGGACGCGCGGCGGCCGCGTCCCGTCGCGCGCGGGCCGCTTGCCGTGCCAGGTCCGCGGCCGGTCGCCCGCGGGGGCGAGGCGCCGCGCCAGCGCCTCGCGCTCCGCCGCCGCGGCCTCGCGGGCCGCCTCGGCCTCGGCCTCGGCGGCCTCGGCCTTCTTGGCGGCCATGAGCGCCTCCAACAGCTCCTGGCGCGCCTTGAGGGCCGCGACGCGGTGGCCGGGGACGTGGAGGTGCGTGCCGAAGAGGCTCGCCGACGGACCCGCCATGGGCGGGTCCTGGACGACGGCCGCGCGCATGTCGTTTTTAGGTATGTGCTAGCTGCCCATAATCGTTTGCGTTGATTACGGGGGCAAACACAGGTTTCTTGAACCTTGCTTCCCGAGGCTGCCCAAATTACATGATGAGAGCGCTCGGGCTGCTCGTCGCGCTGGCGGCGGCGTCGGACGACACGCTCTTCGTCATGGTGTCGGCGCCGCGGAGCGGCACGGAGTGGCTGCGGTCCATGCTCAACGACCACCCGGAGATCTGCTGCGACGGCGAGCCGCTCCTGCGCCTCGGGCGCGTCACGCTCGCCGAGAGCGCCGGCGCCCGCGCCGCCGCGCTCGCGGACACGCTCGAGGCCGCCGCGGCGAACGCGGGCGACGCCGCCGGCGCGCTCAAGCCCTGCAAGAAGCGCGCGCGCGCGCGCGGCTTCAAGTGGTTCGACGGCCAGGGCGGCGCGCGCGTCGACGCGCCCGACGCGCTCCTGGCGACGCTCACGCGCTGGGTGCGCACGCACCGCGTGAAATTCATCGTCCTCGAGCGCCAGGGCCTGGCGAAGCACGTGAGCGACAAGCTCAAGCACCGGAGCTCGCAGCTCGGCACGCGCGCGGTGCCCACGCACTGCCGCGACGCCGCGTGCTCGTCGCGCGTCAACGCGCAGCGCATCGCCCTGCGCGGCGACGTCGCCGGCGAGCTCGACGCCGCCGTCGCGAGCTTCGGGGCCTACCTGGCCTGGGCGCGGGCGACGGTGCCCTTCGACGACCTGCGCTACGCGGGGCGGGAAAAGGGTGCGACATGCCCAACTTCAAAGGCTCCTATCTCGGCCGTTTTCCACTCGTTTCGGCTGATTTCTGGACGAGCGATCATCTCTCGGAAGGGTCTCGAAGCATGGATGCTTTTTCCGGAACGCGCGCGCGCGGAACACTCACGTTGAAGCGAACGTGAATCACTCTTTTTCCTGCCCAGGCTCTACGTGCGCTACCGCGACCTCGCCGCGGACCCGGACCGCGAGATGCGCCGCGTCTACGACTTCCTCAAGGTCGACCGGAGCCACGCGACGAACGCGAGCCTCCTCGTCAAGAGCGTCACGACGCCCCTCGCGGACATGATCGAGAATTGGGGGGAGGTCAAGGCCCAGCTCGAGGCCGGCGGCTGGGCCGACGAGGTCATGCGATAATAGGACCGACACGAGCAGCACGGTAGTATATCGGGGCGCTACTATGGGAGGGCCGGCGCCGGCGCCCCGGCGGCGTAGTCCCCGGGCTGCTTCGCGACGACCTTGCCCTCGGCGACGTACGAGCCCGCGGAGGCGCCCGCGCCGACGACCTTCGCGACGGCGACGGCCTCCTGCGGCGCCGGAGCTTCGGGATCGACGCGCGCGGCGCCCTGCTGGTTGAAGGCCGCGAGCGCGAAGGGCATGAGCAGCAGCGCCGCGTAGACGCAGCAGCCGCCCGCGAGGACGACGACCCAGACCTGGTAGAGACCTACCGCGCGCGATTTGATTTCCCGGTCGAAAGCTCTCGAACGGGGACGCCGGTGCGAACCCTCGACGGTCTTGTCGCAGAGGCCGTCGTAGACGACGTCGCCCATGATGGGCTGGATGTACCTGTGGGAAGAAGGCTTCGTGCGCGAGAACGTTGCCCCTTCGACCGGACGCCGCGGCGTACTTGCAGCTCAGCACCTCGTCCGTGATCTCGTCGACGCTGTCCTCGAGCGTGTCGAGCGACTCGCCGATCGTCGCGACCGCGCTGTCGAGCCCCGTGCAGACGCCGAGCGCCTCGAGATCCTTCGTGTATTGTTCGAGCGAGTCGACGGCGTCGGACATGGCGGAGACGTCGACGTCGAGCGGGTTCTCGCCCTCGCAGTTGAGGTAGTACGCGATGTACTTGTTGTCCTCGTTGTCCTGCGTGAGCACGGCCGCGGGCCCGAGCCAGCACACGTCCGCGATGGCGATGGACACGACGAAGAGCACGGCGAAGATGAGTAGCGCGACGCCCAGGCCCGGCCCGCCGGCCCAGGCCGAGCCGAGGTTGAGGCAGCAGCCGCCCGCGGCCTTGCTGAACCGGCTGGCGCCGACGCCGAGGAGCGCGAGGACGAGGTAGAGCGAGAAGGGGGCCGCGACGGCCGCGGGGATGACGATGGCGACCCAGCGCCGCCCGTGCTCGCGGACCGCGTCCTCCGCGTTGTCCACGGGCTCGTGCATGTCCCCGAAGATGCCCGAGACGTCGTAGATCGTGTCGTTGACCGCGCGGATCTCGTCCATGAACTCGTCGAGCTCACCGCCGGAGCACGTGACGTCGTGGACGGCGGACGTCATGTCCGCCGTCGCGCCCGCCATGTCGCCGATGACGTCGTCGAGGTGGTTCAGGAGGTCGCTCAGACTTTCCAAACCGTCCGCGACGTTCTTGACGCCGGCCTGGAGCGTCTTCTCGCCGTGGCTGAAGGAAGTCATGGAGGCCGCGAGGCCGAGGAGCGTAAAGAGCAGCAGGATGCGGTAGCGGCCGCCCTTGCCCTTGGTGCACGTGTCGACGCACGCGCAGCAGCTGCACTTGCAGCAGCAGCGCCGGCAGCAGTGGATGAGATTCCACAGGAAGCTGAGGAAGATGAGCGCGCCGCCGATGATCGCGACCGTGATACCGAGGTTGACCAGGGCCATGCCGTAGCTCTCCGTGACCACATCCTCGGGCTCCTCCGGCGACTTGGGGTTCAAGCCCGTCAGGTACTCGACCCGGTCCGTGCGCGCCTCCTCGTCGCCGCTGAGGGCGCGGTGCGCGCTGGCGGCGGAGGCCAGGGGCAGCACGAGCATCGAGAGGAGCATCGTAGGAAGCATCCTCGTAGGAAGCATCGACTCGGATCGGATTGCGCGCGCATGTCCGGCAGCCCACCCGCAAGAAAATGTAACATGCAGTTCAACATGACCTTCGGGGCGCCTCTCCCGGAGCTCCGGCACGAGGCAGCGCTCGTTGCTCTCGCGTGCAGCGCGAACCGAGCTTGCAGCGGTAGCAAACGCAGCGGTAGCAGCGATCGTTACTGTCGAGTCTTTTGCATGCGCCCGTGGCTCCTCCTCGCGGTCGCAAGCATGGCGCGCGCGCTCCGCACGCGCTTCACAACGCAACTCGGCGCCGCACCGGTCATTTTAGCACCGATGGGCGGCTGCGCGGGCGGCGCTCTCGCGGCCGCGGTGACCGAGGCGGGCGCCGTCGGCCTCGTCGGCTCCGGCGGCGAGTCGCTCGACTTCCTGCGCGAGGAGTGGGCCGTCGCGCTCGCCGCGCCGCACGACCGCGACCTGCTCGGCTTCGGGCTCAACGTCGGCCAGCTCGACGGCTACGCGCCGCGGACGCTCGAGGCGCTCCTCGCGGAGCTCGGGCCGAAGCACGTCTACCTGAGCTTCGGCGACTGCGGCGCGTACGCTTCGGCCGTCAAGAACGCCGGCGCGACGCTCTACTCGAACTGCGGCGACTCGGAGGGCGCCGTCGCGCACGCGGAGGCGGGCGTCGACGTCGTCGTCGCCCAGGGCTCCGACGCGGGCGGCCACACGCATCCGACGGCGTCGGCCTTCGCGCTCGTGCCCCAGGCGCGCGCGGCGCTCGACGCCGCGGGCCACGGGTCGACGCTCCTCGCGGCCGCCGGAGGTATCGCGGACGGTCGCGGCCTCGCGGCCGCGCTGGTCCTCGGCGCCGACGCCGGGGTTCTCGGGACGACGTTCGCCGCCGCCCGAGAGTCGACGTACACCGCCTCCCAGAAACGCGCCGTCGTCGAGACGACGTGTGGTGCGTCGGGCACGACGCTCGGCACCTTCATCGACGCGGTCCGCGGCATCGACCACCACTCGAGCGGCCTCCCGGGCCGCGCCGTCGTCAACAGGAGCACGAGGCTCGAGGCCGCGTATCTCGCCGCGGACGACGCGGGGCGCGCGGAGCTCCGGGCGGAGCACGACGCCGGCGTCCAAGCGACCGGCGAGGGCCTCGAGTGGGGCGCGACGTGGGCCGGCGCGGCCTGCGGACTGGTCACGTCCGTGCGGCCCGCGGCGGCCATCGTCGACTCGGTCCTCGGCGACGCGCGGGCCGCGCTCAAACAGGGGGCGGGCATGGTCGAGTAAAAGGCTCAGGAAGCCATCGCTGCTGGAAAACTTTTCGCTGCCACGTGTCTGTGCCGCCGGAGGACTGCCGGGCGCCGGTTTGACGGCCGGCGCAGCGCCGAGCGATCGATAGCCTGGCTAAGATAACGTTCCACCAGGCGGCTTCGGAGAGCGTCCGTAAACTGCGCTAGTTGGAGGTGTGGACTGCTATGAGCGACGAACCCAAGGGCGACAAGCCCGCGACCCTGCGCATCCCGTCTGCAACGAGCCCCCGCTGCACGACCACGGACCCGGGCACGCCGCCGAATTCGGCGACGACGCCGTCGGGCTCGCGGAAACGGCAACGTTCCCGGAGCCGCTCCTCGTCGTCCCGGCGCCGCGAGAGCAAGGACCGGTCCCCGCGGCCCCGGCGCGAGGACGGCGCCGACGACGCCAAGGACCGCGCCCGCGCGCTCTACGGCGAGGGCAAGCACGCGGAGGCCGCGGCCGCGTTCCGCGCGCTCGGCGACGCGGCCGAGAGCCCGGCGGAGGCGAGCCGCGAGTACGCCAACGAGGCCGCGGCCTACCTGAGCGCCGCCGTCCACGACGCGGAGAAGTGCGACGAGTACGCCTGCCAGGCCCTCTGCGCGTCGACGCTGGCGCTCGAGCGGGACCCCGACAACGCGCGGGCGCGGCTCCGCCTCGGCAAGGTCTTCGTGCTCCTGGGCGACGTCGCCGAGGCGCGCAAGGTCTTCCGCACGCTCGCCGGGTCCCCCGACGCCGACGTCGCCGACGAGGCCGCGCGCGCGCTCGACCGCCTCGCGCAGCGCGACGTCACGGAGCGCCACGCGAAGCACGCGCGCGCCAAGTCGCGCCACCTCGACGCGCTGGGCCTCGCGCCGGCCCAGGGCTGCTCGACGCCCGACGTCAAGCAGGCCCACGCGACCCAGCAGCGCCGCCACGAGTTCGAGACGTCGAGCCGCCGCCGCGAGTCCGTCAACCGGGCCCGCTCCGCGCTCAAGGCGGCCCACGAGGCCTACGAGGTCCTCCTCCCGACGGAGACGCGCCGCAAGTACCTCTGGAACTTCGACACGGTGGGCAAGCGCGTCCAGCTCGGCGCCGCGCTCGGCGGCGAGGCGCTCGTCCTCGACTACGACGAGCCCACGAACACGCACCTCGTCCAGCTCAAGGCCACGGGCGCCAAGCGCCGCGTCAAGCTCGAGGCGCCCGACGACGCGGGCAGCGGGGCGCCGTAAAGGACCGCTCTTTCGTGTGCGTTTCGTCTTTTTCGCCGCCGGCGGCGGGAGCCCGGCCTGGCTCTCGAGACACCCGAGTGCTGAAAGAGAGAAAGACTGCGCCCTTAGCCCCCCCGATATGCCTTCTCGCCGCGGCGCCGCCCTACGCGTTGAAGAAGAAGGGCACGGAGCCCGGGATGAAGTGGGCCGCGGAGAAGGCCATGATGCCGATCATCGCCGCGCGGCCGTTCTTGAGCTCCGTGACCTTCTGGGCCTCGAGGTCGTTCTTGTTCGCCCAGTCCCAGCGGTAGCCGAGGTCGCCCGCGTCGCGCGTCATGGCTCCCGCCCACGCGCCCTCGGGGAACGTGAAGCCCTCGGTGAGGCCGATGAAGAGGAGGATCTGGGCCATGCCCGTCGGGCACGTCGCGAAGGCCGACGGCGTCGCCTCGAAGGGGTTCACGCCCGCCTCGTAGTACTCGCCGTTGAGCGTGCCCGGGAAGTGCATGCCGTACGACTGCACGAGCGCGCCGGTAAACGCGAGCATCGCGACGCGGCCGTGCTTGATCTCGGCCTCGCGGAGCCACTGGGGGTGGGGCATGACGCCGGCGTGCTCGCTGCCCTTGACGAGGTCGTGGAGCTCGCCGAAGGACATGGGGTCCCAGGCGCCCGCGCCGGGCATGGGGTCGCCGGCCTCCACGCCGCCGTACATGCCGTCGAGGCCCGACGCGCCGAGGGCCGTCGCCGACTTCGTCACGGGGGCGACGAGGCCCATGGCGGGCGCCGCGAGGAGGAGCATCGAGGCCTTCATGGTCGTCGTGCGGGACGGCTGGCGGCGTAGAATGGACTGGATCGCGTGCAGTCCAGCTCAATCACGCGGGCGGGTCGATTTTGCGAGGGAGCGGTGGGTGGTTTGTGTGGCCGGGGGGGGTCGGCGTGCAGCCCGTAGTGGTGCACGCCGCGCCAGCCTTCGCGCCTGCGCCAGCGCCTCGGTCGGGAATGAGAGACAAGCAGAGCCGCGGCACTATCCCGGGTACGCTGCTCCTCACCGCACAGCCACCGCTTCTACGCCAGCGACTTGCTCGGGAATGGAAGCGAACTGGCCGTCGGACAGCCCCTACTGGTTCCTCACCACACGCCGAGCCAAGCCCGCCCCGCAGCGGGACAAGTGGACTCGTCCGTCACTTTCGCCATCGTCGTCGGTCGCCCTATTCAACGTCAACTCGATAAAATTATCAGGATGATACTTTAACCTTCGCGCTTCGACGGGAGCTCGAGAGGGGCTGCGCTGAGCGCCGGACTTCGGGTGCTGCTCCCGCCGCCCGCGGGTGCGGCCCCCGGGTGGCCATGGCGTTCGGCGGCGACGGCGACGCCGACGTGCTCGAGGCCCACCTGCGGGCGCTCAAGTTTTCCGTGACCGCCGCCTGCCGGTCGCTCCGGTCCGGCCCGCGCGACGCGGAGCGCGTCATCGCCATGGAGGCGTCCATCGGCGGCTTCAGCGCCCTCGTCGACGACTTCCAGGAGCTGAGTAGCCTCGTCCGCGAGGCCGCGGGCCAGGGCGTCGCCGTGACGCCCTGGGACGACGGCGACGACGACGCGCCCGCCGTCGGCGCCGCCGCGGAGCCGGCGCGCGCCGGCGGCCACCGCTCCGTCGAGGAGATGAAGACGGCGGAGGAGAAGCTGCAGCAGACCTTCCACGCGAACCCGGAGCGCCTCATGACCCCGCGGCGCACGTTCACGAGCCGCCGCGGGAGGAAGCGGACGTCGATCGCGCGGCGCCTGGGGAAGACGGGCATGAACCGCGACCTCGACTTCCGGATCAACCAGGGGGAGACGTCCCGCGACGAGCTGTTCGAGGCCGCGCGGCCCGCCGCGGCGCTCGAGGTCGGCGCCGGCGCGAAGTACTCCGTCGGCGCGCGGTCGTCGCCGAAGCCGTCGGCGCGCGTCGCGCCGTCCGCGCTCATGACGATCCGGGGCTCCGCCAGCTCCATGCGATCGATGGAGGAGGAGGAGGAGGGCGACGACGTCAGCCCGCTGTCGAACGACGTCGTGGGCCCCCTGTCGAACGACGTCGTGCGGCCCGCGAACCCGGGCCACATGCTCAAGCGGCAGAACTCGTACGAGCTCCACGAGATGGGCTCGCGGCTGGGCATGAACGCCATCGACGTCCCCGAGGACAAGGGGTCGCCGGCCGCGTCCGCGCGGAACCTCAAGTCGACGCCCGCGCGGAAGTCGTTCGGCAAGGACAAGGCCGCGCGCCACGGCGGGAACCGCATGCGCCAGACCATCGTCGACGGCATGGCCGTCATGGGCGCGCTGCCCAAGGCGGCGCACCGCGTGCGCTGGGGCATGACGCTCAAGGGCGCGGAGAACAACCACTCGCGCGCGATGGAGGCCGAGGAGGTCTTCGACCAGTTTTTGGACTCGTTCCGGAAGCGCATCTCCAAGGCCGTCGCGGCGCTGCAGGTCTCCGGCGCCTTCGCGGGCCACGGGTCCGCGGCGGAGCGGCTCACGGACGTGCTCCTCGAGCTGGGTAGGGAGGCGCCGCGGTCGCTCGTCGACGACGTGCTCCGCGCGCGGCCCGCGCCGCCGGGCGTCAACGGCGACCTGCTCGTGGAGCTCGTCGTCTCCGTCGAGGAGCGGCGGACGCAGATCATGCTGGACGCGGGCCGCAAGGAGTGCGCGGAGCTGCTGGAGATCTCGGGCGCGGAGGAGTTCGTGCGGACCGTCGGCGAGGAGGACCAGATGTGCCTGGGCCTGAAGATGTTCCACCCGAAGAACGACATCATCGAGAACTTCGAAATTTTGATGATGTTCGTCCTGCTTTTTGTGTTCATGACGCTGCCCCTGTGCCTCGCGTTCGACCGCGTGAACACGGCGCTGCTGGACATCAACTTCGCGTGCGACCTCATCTTCTGTCTGGACGTGGTGAAGAACTGCAACGTGGGCTACGTCGACGACCGGGGGGTTGTTGTGATGGACCGGAAGATGGCTTTAAAGAACTACTTCCAGACCTGGGCGCTGATCGACATCGTGAGCTCCGTGCCCATCGACCGCGTCATGGACGCGGCGACGGAGGGCAAGGAGGACGGCGGCGGCGTCATGGGCTCGAAGAAGATTTTGAAATTATTGCGGCTCGTGCGCATGACGAAGCTCGTGAAGCTGCTCCGCGCGTCGCAGCTCGTGAAGAAGATCCGGGAGAATCTGATGGCGTTCATGGAGTTCTACAAGATCTTCGTGTCCGACGCGACGCTGAAGCTGTGGCGCCTCTTCTTCATGATGCTCACGCTGTCCCACTGGGGGTCCTGCCTCATGTTCATCCTGCTCAAGGCCTACAAGTACCCCTACGCGTCGTGGGCCGTGCGCTGGGACGTCGTCGCGCCCCACACGGGCGTGCCCGTCAAGTCCGTGCTCCACTGCTACACCTGGGGCATCTACAAGACGCTGATGCTCGTGCTGGGCCAGGCCTACCAGGAGTTCCCGACGGCCCAGGTCTGCGAGAGCTCCCACGGCTGGTGCGTCATCGAGTCGTGGATGACGCTCGTGGGCGTCTTCGCGGGCTGCTTCTTCAACGCGATCTTCGTGTCGACGATCACGTCCATCCTGGTGTCCATGGACGTGTCCATGCAGGAGTTCGAGGAGCAGCTCCAGCGCACGAACGACTACATGCGGAGTTTAAGGCTGCCGGGCGAGCTCCGGGACCGCATCCGCGACTACTACCACCACCGCTGGAAGGAGGGCGTCATCTTCGACGAGTCGCTGATCCTCGAGCGGCTGAACCCGGAGCTCTGCCTCGAGATCCTCAACTACAAGATCCGCGATCTCGTGCCCAAGGTGCCGCTGCTGCGGACGACGCCGAAGGCGTTCTCCGAAGCGCTGGCCCCCGCGCTGCACCCGACGGTGACGACGGAGGGCGACGTCGTGTTGAAGGAGGGCGACTACGGCGACGCCATGTACTTCATCGACAAGGGTCTGGCGGAGGTGCTCGTGGAGGCCGTGGGCGACCAGGTCGTGAAGCTCATCGCGGACGGGTGCTTCTTCGGCGAGGCCGCGTGCCTCCTCAAGGTGAAGCGCACGGCGACGATCCGGTGCAAGCACCTCATGTCGAGCTACACCGTCTCCTCGGAGGACATGGACGAGGTGTTGGAGGACCACCCGGAGATTTTAAAGTACATCACGCGCGTCGCGCGGAGCCGCATCGACCGGCTCCAGCTGCTGCACCTCAACGCGCACCTCAACGAGGGCACGGCGGGCCTCATGTCGACGGACGACGACGAGGACGCGCGGACGCCCCTCTTCGTGTCGCTCGCCGCGAAGCACCGCGCGGAGCAGGCGGGCACCGTCGCCGCGCGCGTGCGCCACTCGCTGGCGAACATCTACCAGAAGGGGTCGTCCATGGTCGGCGGCGGCTCCATGACCAACGGCACGCGGAGCTCGCGCGCGAGCAACCGCGCCGCGTCGCAGCGCGCGGGCGGCCCGAGCTCGAAGCACGTCATGGTCCAGCCCGGGTCCATGCGCTCCGTGCCCGAGCACCACGCCGAGGACGACGACGACGACGAGCTATCGTCGCTGAGCGGCGAGATCGCGCCGACGCGGGGCGTCCACGCGACGATGAAGAAGCAGCACTCGCCCAAGGCGACGCACCGACCACCGCCGTCGACGCGGCACCACCGCTAGCGCGCTCGTTGCGCGCTTTAGACTCTCTCGGACCATGGACGTTAGAGGGGCTCGAGCGCCCCGGGCTTCCGCAGGAGCAGGTCGAGCTTCGCGCCGAGGTCGTCCCGGAGCTTCGCGACCTCGGCCTCGAGGCCGTCGATGCGCCGGTGGACGTCGTCGGCCTTGCCCCGCGCCTCGCGCGCGTGCGCGGCCTGGGCCCGCAGCGTCTCCCGGGGCAGGGGCTGCTTCTCCGGCGCGGGCGCTGCGGCGTGCGACGACGGTGCCGACGTGATGAGGGGCTCGAGGTTCGTGAAGCGCGCCTCCCACGTCTCCCGCAGGTCCACCAAAATCTCGCGCCACTCGGCGTCGATGGCGAGCCCGCGCGCGCGGCCCACGAGCTCGCCGGCGCCCGCCGGCGCGTCGTAGGTCCGCCCCTCGACGAGCTCCGGGAGCTGCATCTCGAGGAGCGCGTGGCAGAGCTTGACCTTGTCCTGGGACACGGACTTGATGAGGTACTCGACGTAGCGCTTGAGCACGCGCCACCGCAGCTTCGGCACGAGGTTCAGCGTCTGGCGGAAGTCGTCGCCGGGGATGGTCAATAATTCCGTCTGGCCCCGCGAGATGGCCTCGTCGATGCGCCGCGAGCAGCCGAGCGTCGACCCCTCGCCGAAGACGGACCCGGGCCCGACGTGCTCGATGATGAGCGCGACGGACGTCGGCTGGGCCACGAGCCCCAGGGCCTTCATGTGCTGCATGGCCCGCTTGCCCGGGGGCTTGACCCGCCGCGCGGCCATGGTCACCTCGCCCGACGCGACCTGCGTGGGAATCAACCGGTGGGCTGGGACGTCGGGGCCAAACTTTGGAACTCTCGAGCTCGGTCACATCGATTCGGCTCATGTTTGGACGACTCGAGTGCTCTCGTCGAGTTCTCGAAGCACGATGGAAGCGCTTGCGTCAAAACCGTCGCATACGCTCAAATTGAAGTCCGGTTGAAGATTTGAGTTCCACGCCGGCCGCGACGATGTACGTGCCCTCGTCCGCGAGGTCGCCGACGCCGTAGACGACCTCGCCCGCGGGGATGGTCAGCGGGCTCAGCTTCGCGCAGATGTCGGCGACGAAGGCGGGCCCGACGCCGTTGAAGAGCGGCACCGTGCGGACGTGCTCCTCGTACAAATTGAGGAAGATCTCGCCCCGGAGCTGCCGCGGCAGCGCCTCGAGGACCGCGCGGTCCTCGGACCTGGGCAGCAAAAGAGAGATTCAACGTCGCTTCAACGTGAGTGTTCCGCGCGCGCGCGTTCCGGAGAAAGCATCCATGCTTCGAGACCGCTCCGAGGGATGATCGCTCGTACAAAAATCAGCCAAAACGAGTGGGAAACGGCCGAGATAGGAGGCTTTGAGGTTGGGAATTTTGCTCTCTTTTGCTGCCCTGCCTCGGACTGGCGCGAGTTCTGCTGGCGCACGTGGCGGATGACGCGCTGCGCGAGGTCCATGGGCAGCGAGTTCGCGCGCAGGTAGGCCATGATGCGCTCGATCTTCGCCTGCTGCTTCCGCTCGAACGTGTCCGGGTCGAGCACCGTGAGCACGTACTGGATGAGCCAGCCGAAGAGGAGCGCGCCCACGGCCATGGACACGATGGCCACGAGGCGGCACCGCAGCAACGGCGACCCCATGTCCCCGTAGCCCACGGTCGTGATGGTCTGCATGGCCCAGTAGACGCACGCGACGTAGCGCTCGGACCGCGTGACGTCGTCGCCGAAGGGGAACACGGACGCGTAGGCGCAGCCCATCCAGTGGCTCGCGAAGACGAGCATCACGAGCAGCTTCCCCGCCTGGATGAGCGGCAGCCAGTAGAGCAGCTCGTCCTGGTACTTCTTCATGAGCCGCTTGAGCCGAAACAAGCGGAAGAGCTTGAGCACGCGGAACGTCCGCAACAACTTGAAGAGCTTGAAGGCCTGGCCCTGGGGCGCCGCGTTCGCCCGCGACGTGCAGGGGCGCACGGGGTGGTAGGAGCAGCCGATGGCGTCCGCGGAGCCCCGCTGGAGGTAGTCGACGGGCGCGCACGCCAACAAATCGATGATGAACCAGCCCCGGAGGTAGACCGCCGCGATGCGCCGCTTGTTCGCCGTGACCTTGGCGCCGCCGTGGGCCACGGCGGCCATCTGGTCCACGACGGCCGCGTTCTCGCCCATCTCCGTCGCGTAGAGCGCCGTGAAGAAGTTCACCAGGATGTCGAGGATGAAGTAGACGTCGATGGCCGTCTCGACCATGAACCAGACGCCGATGGCCGGGTAGTCGAGGCCGATGCGCACGGGCACCATCACCGAAACGTAGGCGAGCCTACGACGCGCGTCGGTGACGATTGTTCATCGTTTCTGCGGTCCGAGTCTCTCGCAAATCGTCGCGGATGCGGGACGCCGCGGCGCGCGCGAAGACCTGGCAGACGTCCCACCGGAGCCGCAGCGGGCCGTCGGGGTAGAGCACAGGGATCGCGTCGCAGCCGCTCCGCCGCGCGCCGTCCGCGGGCTGGAGCCGCACCGTGCCCTCGCGGTTGAGCTCGCCCGTGCTCGACGCGTCGCCCGTCGGGGCGCGGTACATGGTCGCGCGGATCGTGCCCTCGCGGTGCATGGCCTCGCGCGCAGCCTGGTTCGGGTCCGCGGCGCGGCGGCCGTCAGGCCCCACCTTGCCCGCGGCCCAGATGAAGTTCGGCGCGCCGTAGCGCAGCCGGCTCCGCGACTTGACGGAGCTCGTGATCGTCTCCTCGTCGTTCTCCTTGCCGGCGGCGAGGAGCTGGAAGTCCTTCGACGAGTCGCCGACCTGCGCCTGGAGCTTGGCCCAGCGCATGGCGCCGATGGTCGACTTGTGGTCGAGGCGGATCGCGGGGATGTCCATGTCGTGGTCGTCGACGTCCTCGTGGGATCCGTGCATGGCCTTGAAGATGGCCGCCTCCTTCGCCGCCGTGTCCATGGGCTGCGACGGCCGCGGCTGCATCGCCGCCAGCACGCGCTGCTGGCTGTCGCGCCGGTGGTCGTCCTCCTGCTTCGCGTCGTCCGCGCCCGTCGCCGCGTCGTCGGCCTCCTTCGCCGGCGCGGCGTCGCCCATGGCGGCGCGGACGGAGCGGCTTAAGAGCGCACCAGCGCTGCCCCGAGATGGGAAGCACCAGGGCGATGGTGAAGAGTTGGTGGTGAAGAATAACAACTTTACACAACGATCATGGAGAGCACGACGGTGTGATCGGCGCGTCGTGCGCGGCCGCATGGTCAAGGACGTGAACCGGGCGGAGCTCGATGCGCTGGAGGTCTTCGTGCGCGCGCGGCAGCAGCGGCTGACGCGCTGCGTCGAGTCGGACCTCGCGCTGCAGTACCAGGTGCTCCAGTGCGGCGACCGCCTGGGCGAGCGCATGGTCGCCCGGGCGCGGAAGAAGATGCTGCTCCAGGACGAGGGGAAGACGCTCGACGACGCGTCCCTGCTGGACCCCGTGGACCCCTACCTCGAGGCCTTTGACTCGTCGATGACCGTCGTGCCGTCGCACGACGCGAGCGCGGCGCGGATCCCGGGCGTCGTCGCGGACTCGGGCGCGTCGTTCCGCTGGAACGTGCGCCGCCTCGAGCGGGGCTGGCGCGGGTCGCCGTCCTGCACGGCGCCGCGCCAGCTCACCTACTCGACGGCGACGAACCGCGTCGTCCGCAAGAACGCGCCGCAGCTCATCCCCGGCCTCATCGGCACGCCCGCGGCGGCGGAGCACAAGACGGCGCCCGGCGCCAAGGTCGCCGGGGGCTTCGACTTCTCCCTGCAGGAGTTCCTGAACTGCGTGCGCACGGGCAAGGGCGGCCTGGGCATGCTCGAGCCCGCGCTCCCGAACGCGTCGAAGCCCGGGCAGGAATCAAATCTTCAACCCGACTTCAATGTGCGCGTAATTGAACGGATTGTGCCGGACTCTTCGGCTGTGCTTCGAGAACTCGACGAGAGCAATCGATCCGTCCAAAAATTAGCCGAATCGACATCGATTTGATCGAGATAGAGAGTTCTCGAGTTTGGTCGGGACGTCCCACACCAGCGGTTGATTTCCACACAGGTCGAAGCTCGCGAACCTGTCCGACGCGGCGCTCACGAAGATCTTCTACATGATCGACGAGGACCGGTCCAACTCGCTGAGCTTCGACGAGTTCTACACGGCGCTGGAGAGCTGGGAGGACGAGCGGCGCGCGGCGCGCGACCGCGAGAGGCGGCTCCGCGAGTCCGTCTGCTGGCGCGGGGGCATCAAGAAGGAGCGCTTCTTCGAGAAGGTGCGCGAGGCGGGCAAGATCGGCGCCTTCGGGCGCGTCGTCGCGCGCGGCAAGTTCCTCTCGCAGCACTCGCTCCTCGAGCTCTCGACGCTCTTCGACGAGATCGACGACGACGGCAACGGCGACCTCACCGCGCAGGAGTTCCTCGAGGGCCTCGAGGCGCTCGACGCCCTCAAGAACGGGGGCAAGCAGTCGCCGCGGAAGAAGCTGTCCCACGAGGCGTCGCTCCAGTCCCTCGCGTCCGCGGGCACCGTCGTGACCGCGGACGACAAGCGGCGGCCGGCCACGGAGGGCGGCGGGAGGAACCAGCGCGGCCGCGTCCGCTCCTGCATCTGCCGGTAAAAACTACAGCTTATCGTCCGGGGGCTTCGACGGGGTGTCGCGCGACGCCTCGTCCCAGGCCGCGGCAGAGCCCAAAGGCCGCGAGCCACAGCGCCGCGGCGCCGTAGAACGCGGCGTCGTAGGACCCCGCGACGTCGTAGACGACGCCCGCGAGGAACGGGCCGGCGACGAGGCCGCAGGCCATGGACGAGAAGACCGCGCCGGACGCCTCGGCGAGCCTCTCGGCGGCGACGCAGGACCGCGCCATGGGCGTGGTGAGCGCTATGCAGCCGCCGGCCGCGGTGCCGACGATCAAAGCGTAAGCGTAGCACGCGGCGATGGAGTCGACGACGAAGGGAAGCGCCGCGTCCGCCAGGGCCGTCGCGAGCAGCATCGCGCGAAAGGTCGGTTGAACCCCTTTCGCGTCGGCGGCGCGCGCGACCGCGACGCGGCCGAGGGACCCGCCCGCGCCGACGAAAACCACAACCAACGACGCCGCCGCCGCGGCGTGGCCCGCGTCGCCGGCGTAGGCGACCAAGTGCACGAACGGCACCTCCCAGGCGAACGCGTACGTGAAAACGATGCCGCAGAGTAATCGCAGGCGCGGCGTCAGCAGGGGCGGCGTTTGCGGCGGCCTCGTCTCCCGGACCGGCGCCGCCGGCTTTCGATTCTGCGGCCTCCGCAGCGTCGGCGCCGCGAGGCCCACGACGAAGATCGAGGTCGACAGCGCGAGGGCTCCGAACGTCGCGCGCCAGCCCGCGGCGACGATGAGCAGGCGTGCGGCGACGCCGAGGACGACCGTGCCCGCGCCGGAGCCCGCCGTCGCGACGCCCGACGCGAGCGCCGCGTCGTCGCGGCCCGCGAAGGCGACGGCGACCGCTACCGGGCACGGCGGGAACGCGAGCGAGTGGCCGAGGCCAACGACGAGGCCGAAGGCGAGTAGAGCTGCCAGAGCTCCGTCGCCGCGGCGGACAGCGCGAGCCCCGCGGCGGCGACGGCGCCGCCGGCGGCCACCACTCGAGCCGCGCCGAAGCGCGACTGCAGGCGCCCGGAGACGTAGGCGCCGCTGAGCATCGCGCCCGTCGACAGCGATCCGACGCCGCCGAGTAAAGCGCGGCTCGTCGAGATGTTGGCCTCCATCAGCGCCACCATGAGCGTGCCGTAGGCGTAGTGGAGGCCCGGCGCGTGGGCCATGGTCACGAAGGCGGCGGCGACGATGCGCCAGCGTTTCGCGTGCTGCGGCGCGGCGTTTGCAGCCGTTTCTTGCTGCGACGCCATCCGTGCGGCTCCGCAGCGCTATCGCCTCATCGTAGGCTGTGCAGCTCTATCGCATCATCGTAGGCTATGCAGCAGCTCGTGAGACAGCACCCGAGAGTAGCCAGAGCCCATCCGCGGCGGCACCATCGCGGCACCACACCATGAACAGGCCGGCGTTGCAGGGCCTGGGCGCTGAGTGCGGCACCATGGAGGGCCGCCATGGCCCTCCGGGCGGCCGCAAGCAGCTGCGGCATGTGTCGCAGGTGTCGAAGGGCACGCCGGACCTGCGGTCGACGGCGGACCTGCGGTCCCTGGGCATCGACGCGCCGCGGCGGCGGCCGACGATGAGCCGGGGCAGCTTCGGGTCTCTGGACAGCAACCTGAGCCGGCCGTCGACGGCGCAGCAGATGGCGGAGCTGGGCAAGCCGAAGACGGCGGCGGAGCGGCTGCTGCGGGGCTACCTGCTGGAGCGCGTGCCCGACCCCGTGCCGCTGGCCGAGAAGCTCGCGCCGCCCGTCGCCGCGGACTTCGCCTCTCGCGCGCGGACGGACCGCGTGAAGCGCTTCTACGGGCCCGACGGGTCGACGTGCGTGCGGCGGCCCCTGACGGCGACGGACCACGCCCTGACGAAGCGCCAGCTGCGGGCGCTGGACCCGCCGAGCGAGCGCGGGGCCGAGGACGACGCGACCTTGGGATCCTTGGACTCTGCCGCGTTCGGCCTCAGCGCGTACGAGTCCTTCATGATGAAGCGCAACGACCTCACGGTCACGCAGCGCCAGCGCCTCCACGCGAACCGCCGCAAGGACGAGAAGCGCACGCTCAACGGCAACGCCATCGTCGTCCACAAGAAGATGCTCCGGAAAGTCCGCGCGCAAGCGCTCGAGGCCAAAGAGCTCGCGGAGAAGGAGGGGCGCGACGCCTCGGCGCCGCGGCCCCTCATGGCCCTCGAGGACCGCGCGGAGCGCATCTCCACGGCCATCGGCAAGATGGAGGCGACGCTCCAGGAGGCGCAGGCGCGGGATCTGCAACGGCGGACGAAGGCCGCGTGGAAGATCCAGCGCTTTTTACGGGGCGCGACGGTGCGGTCGTCGCAGGGCGACCTGGGTTTGAAGGGGCGCTTCATCGTCGACTTCTTCCGCTTCCACAAGACCGACGACGAGGAGTCGCTCGCGTCCTACAACTTCAAGCCCGAGCTCTACGACCCGCTCGCCTTCTGCATCCAAAAGGCCTACCGGAACTACCGCGCGCACGCCATCCGCGTCAACTGGATCTGCCTCCGGCTGGCGGCGCGCTGGCGCGCCAAGTACAAGCTCAAGAAGCGGCGCCAGCGCCTCGAGGCGCTGCGGAAGGCGCGTTTGGCCGCGAACGAGCTCTACAAGCGGAAGAACACGCGGTTCGTCGCGGAGGTCGTCCGCGAGTGGCGGCGGCGCGCGCTCGACGTCGCCCGGGCCAAGGAGACGTGGAAGCGGGGCATGGCGATCCTCGTGATCAAGAACGGGCTCAAGGGCTGGTACGTCGCGCGGACCTACAAGAACGACGTCGCGCGGCACCTGCGGTCCGCGGGCGAGCCGGAGGTGCAGGGGGCCCTGGTGTATTTCCTCGCGGACGGCGACTGGGGCCGCCTCGTGGAATCGCTGGACAAGGTGCTGCGGCGGGCCGGCGCGGTGCCCGACGGCACGTCCGGGTTCTGCCCGTTTCTGAAGTCGCGCGTCGTCGGCACGCGGCTCGAGCTCGCGGACCCCTCGCTCGAGGAGTACATCTCGCTGAAGCGGGGCGACGAGCGGTTGCTGCCCGTGGCCTTCTGGACGTTCTTATTGGAGGTCGACGACGAGGTGAAGCGGTGCAACGCGGGCGACCGCGTCGAGCGGTCCGAGAAGTCGTCGGAGGAGCAGGCGCTGCTCCTCAAGTGCTTCGCGCGGGGGCTGCTGCGCGACCCCTGGGACGCGTTCGTCGACGAGGGCACGGTGGTCGACGGGCTGCCCGTGGACGACGAGCTCTGGCGGTCGCCGGAGATGAGCCGGGCGAGCGTCATCGACGCGCGGACGCACTTCAACCGGACCCACGGCCTCGAGCACGAGCGCGACGAGACGCCCTACGTGAGCAACGGGTCCGCGGACCGCCTCGTCAAGCGGGCCGAGGCGCGCCGCGACTTGAACAAGGTCAAGGACATCAAGCTGACGCTGGCGCTGCGCGAGGGCGCGCTCCGCTTCAAGAACAAGAAGGGCAAGAGCCGCGGGCGGCGGGCGCTCATGGCGTCGTCGGGCGAGGGGCGCGCCGTCGGGGCCGTCGTCGCGGCGGCGGGCGGCCTCTTCGAGAGCGGCGTGGCCCAGGACGCGTCCGTGCTCCCCGAGTCCGACGCGAAGCGCGGCTACAAGATGCGCTGGGTCTGGGACGACGAGATCTGCCGCCGCTGCCACGCCATCATCCCGGACGCGGCGCGCGCTCGGACCTGCCGCACGTGCGAGAGCCTGACGAACCTCAAGGCGGACCGGCCGAACGAGACCTTTAAAGCGAAGATCGCCGCGCGTTTGGAAGGCGCTTTACCGGCCATCGACCGGTCCCCGGGCAAGGCGCCGCCGACGGCCTGCGGCGTGCCCCTGGAGAAGCCGACGCGCGTCTCCCACGTGCGCAACGAGAAGGCGTCGACCTTCGTCGTCCACGCGATGCTCCTCGAGTTGGCGGAGGCGCCGGGGTTGGGCTGGCGCCGCCGGGGCATCTCGCTCGCGCAGCTCTGGCGCGCGGCCGTCGCCGACGCGCGGCCGGCCATCGCCGAGCTCGCGAAGCGCAAGATCTCGTCCGTCGGCCACCTCTTCGACGTCGCGCAGCGCGTCCGGGGCGTCCACAACCTCGTGTCGCTCGCGCACGTCAAGGTCGCGAAGCGCGTCGAGTCCATGCTGCGGCACCTCGACGACATGCTGCGGTCGCGAGCGAAGGGGGACCTGGCGCTCGAGCGGCGGCGGCGGCTCTACGCTAATGGGTAGGCCCCTTAGTGTGGGGAGTAGTTAACAGACGTTGGTGCGCGCACGCACGGCATTTCATCGCGCTGTTGCAGGTGGGTTGCAGCACACTTCGCTTGACGCGGATCTTTTGACCGTTCGAGTATTCTGAGGATTTGAGGCTCGCCGCGTCGCCCCACAAGACACGATGACGGCCGTCGCAACGTCCCACGTGCCCTCTGAGAAGCGCTCGTCGCCATCGCGAAAGATTAGGCCGCTCCAATTCCTCCCGGTCTCGAAGATCCAATCGCCGCGCAAAAGCCCGTCGCCGAACGAGGTCCAGTCCTTCCCCGACCGGCGCATTCACTGGAACCCCGACGACGACGCCGACGACGACGTGGGCCTCCCTTTGTCGCCGCCGAACCCGCCGTCGATGCTCCCGCGCGCGGCCGCGGCGGACGCGCCGACGATCCCCAAACTGGCGCCGCTGACGCCGCCGCGGTCCGACAAAAAGTCCCCCGGGCCCCCGCGCGGCCACGCGTGGACGTCGCCGGGCCGGCGCACGCCCGTCGTGGACCTCAAGCGCTCGAGCATCTTCGAGTTCCGCGACAACGAGGACGACGAGCAGATCCGTTCCGAGCGGTCGCTGCGCGGCAACTGGTCGGTCGAGGACGACGCCTGGGAGGACGACGCCGCCGAGGAGGCGACATTCCCCGTTTCGAAGCCCGACATGGACGAGTCGGCGCCCGCGCCGCCGCCGCTGCTCCGGAAGGACGACGTCGCGACGGACCGGCTCGCGTTGCTCGCGTGCGTCGCCGCGGCGGACTACGCCGTCGGCCTCGCGGGGGGGCACGGCCCGTGGGCGGCGCGCTGCTTCGGCTTCGCCTACGCGCTCCTCCTAATGCGATAGGGCTCCCATGGCGTCTTAAAATCCGAGAGACTCCTCGTACCAAAATAGACGTTAGTCCGAGTCGCCGTTGCGCGGCGACGCGAGCGCCGCGTTCAGCGCCGCGTTCAGCGCCGCGATGTCGCCGGGCTCCTGCGCGCGCGTCGGCGGCGTCGACCGCACGTCGGCGTCGTCGCGCGAGCGCGCGAGCGGCGGCGGCGGCGGCGGCGGCCCGCGGTTCCGCGCGGCCGCGGCCTTGGCGACCTGCTCCCACATGCCGTCGAGGGCCTTGAACATGCCCGCCTGCGCGTCCGGCGGCGTCGCGTTCTCGTCCGCGGGCTCGCGCTCCGCCGACGCGTCGTCCCAGCGGCGGCGGCGGCGGCGGCGCGGCGCGGCGTCCGGCGCGGCCGCGCGCGCGACGGCCGGCGGCGCCTCGACGGGCGGCGCCTCGACGACGACGAAGCCCCCCTCGACGACGGGCGACTCGACGGCCGGCGGCGCCTCGGCGCGCGGCTCGAGCGACCGCGGCCGGCGCCGGCGGACGTTCTTCCTGGGCGGGCCGAAGTCGAACTGGAGCACGGCGTTCGCCGCCGCGGGCGCGGCCTGGCGCGCCTCGCGGAGCCGGTCGCGCTCCTGGCGCAGCAGCTCCTCGTGCGCGCGGATCTTCCGGTCCCTCTCCGCGCGGCCGTCCTCGCGGATCTCCCGCGCGTTCTTCCGCGGCGACGCGTCGGTCTGCGCGTCGTAGAAGTCGTCGTCGCCGACGCGCACGGGCGCCTCGTTGCGCTCCAGGTCCGCGCGCACGCGCCGCGCGACCTCGCGCGCTTTCGAGTTGTTCTCGTGAAACTGGCGCAGCGCCTGCTCCCGGCGCTCCCGCGTCTCCCGCTCCAGGGCGGCCTTGCGCGCGCGGACCTCGTCGGCCGTGAGGAGCGCCGCCGCCGGCGTGTCCGGAGGCGCGTCGCCGCGCTCCTGCTCCAGGCGGAAGCGGCGCTTCGCCTCGCGCGCGCGCGCGCGGTTCTCGTGAAACTGGCGCGCGGCCGCGTCGGCGTCGACGGCGGGCTTCGGCCGCTCCGGCGGCTCGGCGGGGTAGTCGTAGTCGTCGGCGAAGAGCACGCGCCGCTCCTCGGCCCTGCGGCGGTTTGCGGCGCCGCGGCGCCGCGCGTCGTCGCCGTCGTCGAGGCGCCGGATCGGGCTCGCGACGACGCGCGAGCCCTCGGACGCGGGCCGCGGCGGCGCGCGCGTCGGCGTCGCCGGCGGCCCGTGGATCTTCTCCTTGTTGCGCCGCACCTCGGCCTGGCGCCGGTCGTACTCGTCCTTGAGAGCCTCCGGGAGCGCGACGGCGCCGCCGATGGGCAGCGGCGGCCGCCAGTCCTCCTCGTCGCGGTCGTCGCCGCCGTCGGCGACGCCGCGCCACTCGGGCTTCTCGTCGTCGACGACGCCGCGATATTGGGGCCGCTCGCCGCCGTCGCGCCACCGCGACCGCGGCGGCCGCGGCTCCGCGGCCGGCGGCGGCCGCGCGTCGCCGCCGTCGTCGGCGCTCTCCGGCGGCGGCGCCGCGTCGTCGTCGTCGCTCACGACGCCGCGCCACTTGGGCCGCTCCTTGAGCTTCTCCGCGGCCTTGGCCGCGCGGCGCCTTTCGCGCTTCCGCCGGTCCGCGGCGAGGCCGTCGTCGCGCCGCACGGCGTCGCGGCTCAGGTTGAGCGCGTGGCCGCCCATGGTGTGCGAGAGCACGGACTGGACGTGCGACCGCACGTAGTCGCTCGTCCGCAACACGCGGTCCGCGGACGGCCGGCGGCTTGGGTCGCGCGCGAGGAGCTGCTTCACGAGCGCCGCCGCCTGCGGCGAGTACGCCGGCGGCAGCGGCTTCGGGTCCTTCGCGCCCGTGACCAGGCGGCAGAGCGCGGCCATGGACCGCGCCTCGAAGGGGACCTTCAGCGCCAGCACCTCGTAGAGCAGCACGCCGAGCGACCAGACGTCGCTCTTGAACCCGTAGGCCTGGCCCTCGAAGATCTCCGGCGAGAGGTAGTAGGGCGTGCCGACCTGGGTCTGGGCGAGCACCGTCGCGCCCTCGCGGCCCCGGAGCCGCTTGGACACGCCGAAGTCGCCGAGCTTGACGACGCCCGCCTTCGTGAGGAAGACGTTCGCCGCTTTGATGTCGCGATGGACGATGCGCTTCGCGTGGCAGTGGCGGACGGCGACGAGGCACATGACGAAGATGGACATGGCGTCGGCCTCGGGCCAGTACCGGCCCGCGCTCCGCCGGCGGTTGATCGCGCCGGCGAGGTCGCCGCCGTCGGCGTACTCCATGACGAGGTAGAACTTTTGCGACGGCTCGTCGGCGAAGGACGCGACGTAGCGGCAGATGTTGCTGTGCTCGTGCTGGGCCATGAGGTCCGCCTCGCTCTTGGCCTCGGCCAACGCCTTCGCGTCCTCGCACTTGATCTCCTTGACGACGACCTCCTCGCCGCTGCGCCGGTCCCTGCAGAGCATGGCCCGCCCGAAGGACCCGGAGCCCAGCACCTTCAGGACGTCGAAGCCCTCCATGAGGGTGTTTTGCGGCGCGGCGTGCTCAGAAGGTGTTGCGTGTCGGCCGGCTCGGCTCACAGTTCGAGCACGGGGCAGCTTCCGGCGCGCATCGCACCGGTCGTGTGGGTCAACAAATTGTTCAACGAGAACTGCACCACTTTGGTTTCCGTCGCATTGCATCAGGCCTCTCAACAATCGATCGCGCGAGCCTCGTCGCGCGCCCCATCCGCAGCGATGGCAGCGATGGCTTCCGCGCCGTCGCGGAAACCGCTGTCGCGGGACCGGCTCGCGCTCTGCCAGGACCGGCGGCGCGCGGAGGCGCTCCAGCGGCAGCGCGACGCGCGGCGCAACCTCGCGGACCACGCGCGGGCCCTCGCCGCGCCGGAGCCCGAGGCGCCGCGCATGGACGTCGACGCGACGCTCAGCAAGGCGGAGCTCAAGCGGCGGCGCGCGGACCGCGAGGCGAAGGAGCGCGCGGCGAAGTGGTCGCTCGAGTTTTGCATCCCGGAGTGGCTCGTCGAGATCCCGCGCGGAAGCGGCGTCCGCCCAAGCGCCACGCTTATGAAACGTCATCCGTAGGCCGGACCTCAACGGCAAGGGCGACGCCCACGGCGGCGGCTGGTACGTCGTGCCGCGGCCCGAGGGCAAGCGGTGCCTGGTCGTCGCGTCGCGGGGCAAGACCGCGTCGAGGCTCCCCCACGGCGACGTGCTCCACCGCTGGCGCAGCGCCGTGCCCTCCGGGTCGCCGCAGACGGCGACGAAGGACGACCAGGCCACCGTGCTCGAGTGCGTCTTCTACGAGCCGTCGAGTACGTATTTCGTCGTGGACGTGATGACCTGGGGGGGCTACAGCCTCTACGACTGCACGGCGGAGTTCCGCTTCTACTGGCTCCGGACGAAGCTCGGCGAGCTGGAGCCGCCGGAGGAGGCGGCGCCTTACGCGTTGGCCCCCGCGCCGTACTTCGACGCGGACGGCGACGGCGTGCTGGCGGCGCACGGCGGGCCCCTGCCCTACCTCCGCGACGGCCTCCTCTTCTACGCGAAGCAGGGCCACTACGCCCTCGGGCCGACGCCCCTCGTGGCGCTCTTCAAGGACGCGGCGTGCACGCGGTACTTCGCGGCCGACGACGAGAGTTTGTTCGTGGTGCTGCGCCACGAGCGCGGCGAGCTGCGGACGCTCGACGGCACGGCCGTGCCCCGCGCGGCCGCCGCGGCCGAGGCCTTCGCCGAGGGCGAGCTCGCGCGCTTCCAGCTCGTGCCCGCGGGCGACGGCGTCGCCGCGGCCTTCGACCGGCGGTGCTCGAACAAACGCGCGCTGCCGGACTCGGCGAGCAAGATCGCCTTCGCCCTGCGGCACAAGACGCGGCCCCTGGGCATCGCGGACGTCGTCGCCGTGGCGCGGGGTAACGGGGTTGGGTAGCGCGTGGTGGCCCAGGGAGTGTGACCGCGGCGCACCGGCGGCGCCGGACGAGGCTCTTTTTTTTCGGGCACCCCCGGCCAAAACCGCCCGATCATCCTGTGGCTTGCACTGGGGCATAATCAATGTCCGCGTCCGTCGTCCACATTAGCAGAGCCGCAGTCTCATCCGAGAGGGCAGCGAGGGCAAGAGAGCGTCGCACGATAGCACACAGAGAAATGGAGGTGAAAAAATCCCGCTTCGGCGCTCTTCCGGGCCCGCGCGGCGCTCTGCCGCTGCCGCTTCGCCCGGGCCTCGATTTGAGCCGCGGCGGGGACGAGGGCTGCGCCAAATCGCGAGAGAACCACCGCCATCGCGCGCCGCGACGCTCACGCGTCCGCCCCCTCCGCAGCAAACATGAAGCTGTCCGCCGCGCTCCTCGTCGCGCCCGTCGCCGCGTTCGCGCCGCGGGCCGCGCCCAAGGCGTCGGCCGTCGTCGTCCACAACAACGGCCAGATGGGCAACGTCGACGACTCGTACCCGGCCTTCCTGCCCGGCGGCCTCGGCACGGCCGGCCCCATGCCCGAGGACAGCCTGGACGGCTCGTCGATCTTCGACGGCCCCATGGGCTGGGACCGCGAGGCCTACTCGACGGTCTTCGTCGACCCGTCGCAGCTCGACGCGGCCTTCACGAGCGCCAACGGCGCGGCCCTCGACGCCAAGCTCGAGCCGTACAGCGAGGGCGACCAGAAGAAGCTCCTCGACAAGTTCGGCGACCTCGAGCTCCTCAACATGGACGCGAAGAAGATCGACGCCTTCATCAACCCGCCGCCGCCGAAGAAGAAGGCGGCGAAGAAGGAGCCCAAGGAGTAGGCGCCGCGGCGGGGTGGCGCGTGGTGTAAGCGGGAGTTGCCGGGACTCGGACCGCGCGGTTCCAATCCGCGCGGGGCGTCGAAGGTCGCCCCGGCCGCGGCGCGGCGGACCGCGCCTGTGTGCCGAATTGCTGAACATGGACGCGAAGAAGATCGACACGTTCATCAATCCTCCGCCTCCGAAGAAGGCGATCAAGAAGGCGCCGGCGGCCGACGGCGACGCGCCGGCCAAGAAGGCTCCAGCAGCGAAGAAGGCACCGGCGGCGGCCGACGGCGACGCGCCGGCCAAGAGGGCTCCACCAGCGAAGAAGGCGCCTGCCGCGAAGAAGGCGCCCGTCGCCGAAGCCGCCGGCGACGACGCGAAACCGGCCAAGAAACCCGCGAAGAAACCCGCGAAGAAGGCGCCGCTCGCGGACGAGTCGAACATCTGAGCCACATCTAAATAAAGAGCCTAGACGATGCCGCCCTGGATGTCGACGGAGCCCGACGCCGAGCGGTGCGTCGGCATGGGGATGCGGCCGCCGGGGCCCAGGTCGCGCGCGAGCGCCGCGTCGAGGTCGTCGTCGTCGCCGCCGCGGGCGCAGGGCACGCGCGGGAACGACTCGTTGCGCCAGGCGACGTAGAGCAAGCCCGCGCCGCAGCAGGCCAGGAGGCCGCAGGACACGAGCGCGACGACGTAGGCCGCCTCGTAGGTCCAGCCGAAGTCGCAGGCCGAGACGATCAGGACGACGGCGACGTCCGCGCCCGCGTGGAACGCCACCACAAAGGGGAAGCCGAAGGGCGCGCGCTCGCCGAGCCAGATCCAGACCCGCGACGCGAGGGCCAAAGCGCAAAAGCAGAGCAGCGCGACCTCCCAGCCCACGAAGACGTGGACCACCACTCCGTGGAAACTGCCGAAGTAAACGCTCGTGAGCCAGCGGCTGAAACCCGTCTGCTCCGCGGCGTTGAGCAGCGCGCGCCGCGTCCGCGCGTTCCGGCTCCGCGGCTTCCAGTCGTCGTCGTCCGACGGGTCCGAGTTCAGCGACGCGTCCGCGCCGGAGTCGTCCGGCGGGCGGCCGTTGAGCGTGCGGCCGACCTCCGCGTAGCAGTAGCCCCGCCAGAAGAGCTCCTCGAGCACGGGGTTCACGGTGCAGAACCAGACGCCCAAAAAGAGCAGCGCGCCGTCGCGGAGCGTCGTGCCCCGGTAGAGGCCCTTGTCCCGCGTCCCCGACTTGATCTCCTTCGTGATGCCGAGGTCGTCGAGCTCGCGCTGGAGCGCGGCGAGGTAGACGAAGAAGCCGCCGAAGCCGACGACGCACAGGCTCCCCGTCGTGATCAGCGCGCAGCGCTTCCACTCGTAGGGCCGCGACAGCGACCGGCCGAGCGTCGCCACCTTCTTCCGCGTCGCCGCCGCGCTCGGCGCGTCGCCGCGGAGCCAGAGCGTCAGCAGCGGGCCGGCGACGAGGACGAACTCGTAGCAGAAGACGGCCAGGTAGGCGCTCTCGACGATGACGAGCGTCCACCAGACGACTAGGCAAGGGAGCAGGGCGTTCACGTGGACCAGGAGGTCCAGCGTCGTCTCCCGCGCCAACATGACGAAGGTCTGCGCGTCCTCGATCGTTGCTTCGGGCGCGGGCGTCGCCGTGGGCGCGGTCACCTCGAGCGGCTCCTCGGGCATGTGCTAGCCGCGCTCAAGAAGAGCAGCGGCAGTCGTCTCTCGCGTCGAGCGTCGGTGCTCGATTGGATTCTCCGCACCTATGGACAGGCGTTTCGCTCGCCGGGGCTACCGGAGGAGGCGCCGGCCGTCGGGGCCGCCGAAGGCGAGGGCATGCACGACTCAATCGTTAGGTTAATCTGCGCTCCTTACCCGCCTACCTCCTCGACGCGCCGCCGCACGAGGTCCGCGAGGGCGTCGGCGCGCTCCATGGGGATGTTGTGGTCCGAGTCCGGGATCGCGACGAAGGCCGCGTCGGGGAACTTCGCCGCGAGCTTCGCGTAGTACGCCGTCGCCGGCTCGACGTTCAGCGGGAAGGGCGACAGCGCGCCCGCGCACACCGTCGTCGGGCAGCCGATTTTCCCCAGCCGCGATATGGCGCCCGTGTCGCCGCAGCTCCGGAAGATGGCCGCCTCGTCCTCGCGCGCGCAGCGGAGCGCGAACGAGCCGTCGCGCCGCTCGACGGCGCAGCCGTCGACGTAGTCCTCGACGACGTCCGCGGGCCAGCGCCGGCCGACGCCCCGCGCGATGGACGCGACGCAGGCCGCGCGGTCGGGCCACGCGTCCCGCCGCTTCGCCGTCGAATTCGCGACGGGCGTGCCCGCGACGGCGACGACGGGCTTCGTCCACCAGGGCAGGAGCACGGGCTCCGCGAGGACCAGCGCGGCGAACGTGCCCGGCCGCTTCAGCTCCGCGAGCACGAGCGACGCGCCGCCCAGCGAGTGGCCCACGCCGACGACGGGCCCCGCGGGCGCCGCGTCGTCGAGCACCTCCAGCAGCGCCGCGGGGCACTCGGCGGCCCAGTCGCCCTCGACGGGCCGCAGCCAGACCTACGCACAAGTCTTTTCGACGCGTTTTCGCGGGACGCCGCGCCGCGCGCTCCCGCTTCGATGCGGCGACGGAGCGAAGCCCCGCCGCGACTCGCCCTGCCACGGCAGGTCGCAGCCGACGCCGTGGTAGTCCGCGTCCTCGAGGCGCCGCTGCACGGGGTGCCAGATCTCCTTGGCGAGGCCCGTGCCGTGGGCGAAGAGCACCGTGGGGGAGGTGGGTTGAGCCTTTGCCGTCGACCGGACGGCGTAGGCGACGCCGGACCGCGTGAACCGCGTGTGCATCGCGCTGGCCCAGGCGTGCGCCATTGCGACGCTTTGCAACAGCGCGGCGGCGGCGGTGTGGTCGTCACCGGTGTCGCTTTGCAACGCGCGGCGCGACGACCTCACACAGTCGTCCCATCGTCACAACCGAGCGGCACCTTTGGGGAAACATTCACCCTGTCACTTCACGGTGCCGACGAGGAGCAGCCCGTTCCAGGATCGACATCAAATGGTGGCCTGCTCCGACTGGTAGGTCTGCCTTGGGGAGAACGTCGCATCGAGAGCAGCCCCCAGGATCGATGGGGCTTCTAAGACTGGTGGGCCTGCGGCCGCCGCCCGTCGCGGAGCACCGCCACCACCACGCGTCGCTCTTCGAGCTCGGCCCGCCGGGCGCCGTCGACGGCCGCCCCATCTGCCTCTGGCTCGGCGGCCTCGTCGTGTTCACGACGGCCTTCGAGCTCTTCGAACATAAACTCCACCACGCCGCCGACGAGACGCGCCGGGTCATCGTGGAGAAGGTCAAGGGCGAGCTCACGCTCATGGGCTTCCTCGGCTTCGCGCTGAGCATGGCCGAGCAGCTCGTCGACGTTCCGCACGAGGCGAAGCTCAGCTTCGAATTCGCGCACACGCTCCTCTTCTTCATGGCGCTCACGTCCTTCGGCGTCTGCGTCGGGTTGCTCGCGGGCGCCGACGCCATCGAGCGGCGCGTCCACGAGATGGAGGGGCTGGACCTCGACGCGATCTGCGCGGGGCCGTTCCACGAGGCGACGCAACGGGGCCTGCCGCTGGAGGACTGGCGAAACGTCGCGCGCTTCATCGGCCTCCGGCGGCGGTTCCTGAGCGTCGAGAAGCTGCCGCTGTCCGTCGACTTCGCCGCGTACTTCGCCGACGCGACCTACGAGTACGTCATCGAGCTGCTCGAGGCGCCGCTCCGTTTCAAGGCGACGCTGGTGGCGTTCTGCGCGGCCGCCGCCGCGGCGCCGGTCCTGCCCGCCGTCGCCGGGTCGCTCGCGGCGCGCGACGAGGTCCTCGCCTACGTCGCGGCCGCGTGGGCCGTCCTCGGGGCCCAGGCGGTCGTCGACGCGTCCGGCCGGCGGCGCCTCGCGCGCCTGGAGCGCGTCGCGGGCCTCGCGGGCGACGGCGACCTGCTGCGCGCCGCGCGCCTCGACCGCGACGAGCGGAGCCGCGCGCGCGCGCCTGTGTGGAAATCAAATCTTCAACCCGACTTCAATGTGCGCGTAATCGAACGGTTTGGACCAGACTCTTTCGCTGTGCTTCGAGAACTCGACGAGAGCAATCGATCCGTCCAAAAATCGGCCGAATCGACTTCGATTTGACCGAGATAGAGAGTTCTGAAGTTTGGTGGGGACCCCCCAAACCAGTGGTTGATTTCCACACAGGCGCGCGCGCGACGTCACGCGGCCCGCGCCGCCGCACGACGACCACGCGACGGCGCACCGCGACGGCGGCGACGCCGTCGCGGCGACGCTCGTCGGCTGCCGCGCGCTGCTCTTCTCCCTGTTCCTCCTGCGCTACGCGCGCTACCCGCTGGACGAGCTGCCCGCGGCCTGGACGCGCGCGCGGCTCTCGTTTGCCTGCCTCGCGCCGCTCGTCCTCGCGTGGGCGAGCCTCGTCGACCACGTGTCGCGGGCCGTCCTCGTCTCGGCGATCACGGACCCGAAGCCGGACCTCGTCGACCGGGCCCTCGAGCGGGCGAACGCCGCGGCGCGGGACGTCGCGGAGTACCGGTCCGCGTTCCTCGCCTTCTGGCGCGGCCGGCCGGACCGGTCCGAGGCCGCGCTCGCCGACTTCTTCGAGGACGCGTGCGGCGCGGTCGCGAAGCCGGCGCGCCGGGGCCTCGCGCGGCGGGGGCTCTCGCGCCAGCTCACGGGCCTCGCCGCGAAGCCGACGATGAGCTTCGACAACTTCGAAGTCCTCCTGGCGTCCCTCGAGGAGACGCGCGTCTCGAAGAAGTTCGCGGAGCGGCTCTTCACGGAGATGGCCACGGACGCGGAGCTGGATTTTGACGAGTTTCGGAGTTACTTAGTGGGCAGAGGAAAGTTCAGCGCAGCGTCCTGCGACCGCGACAATTTTCGAGACAAAAAATCGACGCAAAACCGCCACCGACGCACTTGGTAGGTTCAGCGCCATCGGCGCGCACGCGTCGGACCTCTTCGGGACGCCGGCAAGGGCGCCGACGCCGGACACGCCCCTCGCGTCCCACGAGTCGCCGCGCCGCGTCGTCGCGCTCGACTTCCACGAGATCCCCCTGGCCCGCCACGGCTCCGAGAGCCGCATCGGAGACCCCTCGCCGCGAGGGTCCGGGGTGATGGTGCGCGGCTAAGACTCCGCGACTAGGGGAAGCGGCGTCCCTAGCATTTCGAGAGGAGCCAGGCGGCGTCGGCCGCGGCGTCGTCGACGATGGTGAACGCTTTGACCGTGCCGTCGTCGACGAGCATGGAGAAGCGCTCGGACCGCGGGCCGAGGCTCGTGCCGCTGTAGTCCTTGGCGACGCCCCAGGCCGCCGTGACCGCGCCGAGGTCGTCGGCGAGGAACGTCATGGCGGTCTCGTCGACGCCCATGGCCTGCTGCCAGCCGCGCATGGCGTAGGGGCAGGCGACGCTGAAGCAGACGACGTCGACGCCCTTGGCCTCGAAGTCGCCCGCGAGCGCCGCGTAGCCGGGCACGTGCTGCTCCGTGCAGGTTCCCGTGAACGGCGCGGGCACGCCGAAGACCGCGACGCGCTTGCCGGCGAAGAGGTCGCCGAGGGCCACGGCGTGGTCGCTCGCCTGGTTCGACGAGTCGCTGCCCGCCGGGCCGTCGCCATTGAGCCAGGGCCGCGCCCTCTGCAGGCTCAGGCCCGAGGCGGCCGCGGCGTCGCCCGTGGCGATGAAGCGGCGCGCCGCGGGCGCAGCGCGCCGCGCGGCCTGCATCGCGAGGTGCGCAGCCATCGGTGCGACGATGCCTATTGCTGCGAGGCGAGCTTTCGGGCGGCGCGCGAGCGACGGGAGAGCTGGTGATGTGTGCGATCTTTAATGCGAACTCGTTTTGCCACTAGAGGCGTCATCGACTTCAACAAGGGTAAACATAGGCCTCCCAGGCGTCGCGACGACGACCCACCTTCCCTCACCGCGAGCGGTCGTCGCGGCGGCGGTCGTCGCGCGGGCGGCGGTCGTCGCGGCGCGGGCCGTCGCGGCGGTCGGGCTTGCGGCGGTTGTCGAAGCCGTTCCGCGCGTCGTTCGTGAGCATGGGCGGCGAGCCGGCCTCGTCGACGGCGTCGGCCCAGCCCCAGAGGATGATGGAGATTCGCCCCTTGCCCGACCGGTCCGCCTCCTTCTGGTAGTTGACGCCGTGCTTGAAGCGCAGGTTGACGTCGCGGCCGAAGTAGAAGAGCGAGCCGTTCGTCTGCGGGAAGTAGAAGCGCTTCGTCGGGTCGTTCGCGTCGACGAAGGCGAGCTCGCGCGTGTCGCCGAAGGACACGCCCACGGTGACGTTCTGGTTCCGCGCGCGCTGCGGGTTGAAGGCCGCGGAGTCGTGGTGGAAGGGCTTCCAGTCCGACGGGTTGTTGTACCAGTTGAAGCGCGTGCCCCGTGAGTTCGGCCGGAGCTTGAAGTAGTCGCCCATGCGCTGCTCGATGTCGCGGTACGTCGCGGAGCCCGACGGGTCCTTGGAGATGAGGTGCGCGCCCTCGTGCCACGACTGCCACTCGGGCCCGTTGCGCTTGCCCGCCGGCGCCGCGTCCTGGGCCGCGCGCATCTCCTCGACGAGCGTGTAGTAGAGCGCCATGTCGTCCTCGTCGCAGAAGAACTCGGGCACGATGACGACGTCGTCGTGCCGCAGGGGCTTGTCGTACGTCGCGGCCTTCTTGCTCGCGACGATGACGCGCATCGACGGCCGCACGAGGGTCGACGCGGGGTCGAAGGACTCCGTGTTCCGGCCCGTGGCGACGCCGAGGCCCAGGGCCGCGCGCTGCGCCTTGCCGAGCGGGCCCGTCGCGCGCGGGTCGTCGGCCTTGGTTGGAAGCGCGGCGTCCGCGGGCGCGGCGCCCCAGACCGCCGCGGGATCCGCGCGGCGGCGCGCGTCGTCGCGGCGGCTGCGGTCCTGGTCGCCGCGGCGGTCGCCGCCGCCGCGGCGCTGGTCCTGGTCGCCGCGGCGGTGGTCCTTGCCGTCGCGGCGCTGGTCCTTGCCATCGCGGCGGTCCCGGTCGCCGTCGCGGCGGCGCTCGCGCGACCGCGACCGGTCGTCGCCGCGGCGCTCGCCGCGGTCGTCGTCGCGGCGCTTGTCGTCGCGGCGTTGGCCGTCGCGCTTGTCGTCGCGGCGCCGGCCGTCGTCGCGGCGCTGGCCGTCGTCGCGCTTGCCGCCGCCATCCTGGCGCTGGCGGTCCTTGGTGCCGCCGTCCGGGCGCGTTTCGTTGCGCTGCATATTTATCTTGCCATGGTCCTTCTCCCTATTGTATCGGCCGGATGACAAGGCGCCGTCCATTCTTCTCGGAGGCTGGCTGCGATTCAAACAGAGCAGCTATCTCGCCTCTCGACGATTCGAGAGCGATCTGGGATCCTGGTAGAGCGCTCTGCAACATGCAGTACACAACACCATCCTACACAGAAGGCTGCCGCTCGATCTCCCAGCCACACAAGGCAGCCCCGCAGAACCCATAACTGGGAGTCGCGGAGAGCGGCGCGGGCGTCCCCACCCGCGCGTCGTCGTGGTCGTAGCCGCCGCCGGTCGCGGAGCCTCGCCGGGTTCCGGAAAGGCGTCGCGAAACATGACGGACGTCGGGGGCGGATGGATGGAACACGATGATCCTTCCTCAGGCGAGTCCCCCCGCCGCCGCCGCCCCCCCCCCGACGCGCGACCGCAGGCCGCAAGTACTACGCGAACGCCGCGTCGGGCGAGACGCGCTGGGAGTGGCCCTCGGAGCTCGCGCGGCGCCCGCGCCCGGACGCGCGCGCGCGCGCCGCGGCCGCGTCACCGCCGACCGCAGGGCCCGTCGCCGGGCGGCGCCTCGGACTGGGACGAGCGCACGGACCCGAGCTCGGGGAAGATCTACTACTACAACAAGACGACGCAGGAGACGTCGTGGACGCCGCCGCGCGTCCCGCCGCGTCCTCGCCGGAACGCTCGAGAAACGAGACGCGGCGCACCGCGTAGGCCCGGCTACAAGGGCGCGGAGAGCACGCCCGAGGCCGCCGCCGCGGCGGCGACGGACCCGGCCAAGTGGCTCAGCAAGGTCGACGAGGCGTCGAAGCGCGAGTACTACTACAACACCGTGACGAAGGAGACGACGTGGACGAAGCCCGAGTGCCTCGGGTCCGCGCCCGCGAAGGAGGCGGAGCCCGTCATGACGGCCAAGTCCGCGCCGGCGGCGCCGCCCGCCGCCGCGCCCGGCGCCGGCGAGCAGAGCGTCGAGGAGCTGACGGAGCTCTACGCGGGCATGGAGTTCAAGACGTTCGCCGAGGAGAACTTCCAGCTCTGCCGCAAGGGCATGTTCAAGACGAAGACGGATTTGGACAAGGTGACGCGCTGGAAGAACGAGCTCATGAAGCTCGCGCTGCTCAACTTCAAGGACGGCGAGCTCCAGGCCGAGGCGCTCCAGACGAACCGGAACGTGCTCGGCTTCATGGGCGACCGCAAGAGCGGCAAGGACACGATCGACCACTGCACGAAGATCATGCACAACATGCTCCAGTCGCCGGAGGAGCTGCGGAACGAGGCCTACTGCCAGATCATGAAGCAGACGACGGAGAACCCGTCGGGCGAGTCGACGGTGCTCGGCTGGAAGCTGTTGGCGGTCTGCCTCGCGACGTTCCCGCCTTCGGACGCGCTCGCGCCCTACCTGGGCCACTTCTGCGCGACGAACGTGGCGTCGACGCAGGAGGACGGCGACGTCAAGGTGGCGGACGTCGCCGCGTTCTGCCTGAAGAAGGTGCCGCAGATCTGCAAGCTCGGCGCGCGGCGCGAGCTGCCGACGCCCGTGGAGATCGAGTCGACGATGCGCATGGACAAGGCCTGGGTGCGCGTCTTCTTCCTCGACGCCAAGTACGTCACCCTCAAGGTCGACGCGTGGACGACGGCGGCGCAATTCGCGGCGCAGATCGCGGGCCTCCTGGGCGTCGCCGACGGCGCGCCCTTCTCCGTCTTCGAGGTGTCGACCGAGGACGAGGAGCGCGTGTTGGACGCCGACGAGCGCGTCCTGGATCTGGTCGCGTACTGGGACCGCCTCGAGCGCGAGGCGCGCGAGAAGAAGGGCAAGAAGTCGGAGGTCGAGGAGTTCCACTTCGCCTACAAGGTGCGCCACTTCTTCGACGTCAAGGACGGCGACGACGCCGCGGTGGAGCTCATCTACGTCCAGGCGAAGCACGACGTCGTCGACGCGCGCTACCCCTGCGAGGCCCAGGACGCGATCACGCTCGCCGCGCTCCAGGTCCAGGAGGAGTTCGGCGACATCCCGACGGACGGCGACTGCTGCTACCTCAAGGGCAACCTGGGCAAGTACCTCAGCGCCAAGGAGCTCGAGCGGTCCGACGACGGCGAGCTCGAGGACCAGCTGCTGAAACTCTACGCGAAGCTGTCGGGCTACAGCGCCAAGGAGGCGCGGCTCTCGTACCTCGACTACGTCAAGAGCTGGAAGATCTACGGCAGCTCCTACTACTTCGCCGAGCCCAAGCAGAACCGCGACTTCCCGTCCGAGGTCGTCCTCGCGATCAACGCCAAGGGCATCCTCGTCGTGGACCCGGACACGAAGGAGTTCCTCCAGGAGTACCCCTACTCGCAGGTCGTCACCTGGGGCCACTCGACGAACTCCTTCGTCGTCGTCACCGGCGACGCCGTCAAGCAGACCAAGGTCTACTTCAAGACGGAGCAGGGCAAGGAGATGAACGTCATGGTCCGCGCCTACGTCGAGGCCCTCATGGCCTAGGATGCCGAGGCGCCGCGAGACCCCCGCGGACGCGCGCGCGCGCGCGGCCTCGAGACACACAACAGGCGCTAGTACTTGGAGTGGCCGTCGGAGTGGAGCGCGAACTCGCGGTACGCGGACATGTCCGTGTCGAGGAGCGGGAGCTCGAGGTCGCCGATGGCCTCGGCGATCTTGTTCTCGACGCGCGTGGCCTCCGTGCCGTCGTCGATGAGGTCCAGCACCATCTGGAGGTCCCGGCGGACGTCGCCGACCTCCGCGTGGCGCGTCTGCGCGATCTTGAGGAGCTTGTAGAAGCCCATGGCCCGCATCTTCGCGCGGAGCGCCTCGCTCTCCATCGCGAGCTCCCGCAGCACCCACGCGAGCATCATGACGATCGCGTTGAAGCGGTTCCAGCGCATGAGCGTCTGCGCGAGCGCCTCGACGAGGCCCCCGTGGTCCACGAGGAGCGGCAGCGCGACGGGCCGCGCCTCGCCGCGCAGCAGCGCGAGGATGACACAGAGCGCCCACCAGTGGATGCGCGTGTAGTCGTGGATGTCCGGGTGGCCGTCGCGCTCCGTCGTGCGGTGCGCGCGCGCGACGCGGCGCACCTGGGGCACGGTGAGCGTCTTCGGGTGGTAGACCGTCGCCTTGGTCGGGAGGGCCATCTCGTGGCCGTACTCGGCGGGCCGCGGCGCCTTGCACGCGACCGCGGACGCCGCGCGGAGCCTCTCGTCGGCCTTGTGCGTCGCTTTGCTCAGCGCGCCGCAGCGCACGTGGATGACCTCCATGGCCAACAGCGCGCCGCCGGCCTTGAGCGGGAGCAGGCTCAGCTTGTGCTTGAGCTCGCGCGCGTCGTCCTTGAGGTTCGCGAGGTTCGCGAAGAAGCAGAGCGCGTACTGCAAGCTCGGCAGGTCGTCGCGGAGCACGCCCCGCTTCTCCGGGTCGAGGTAGCGCAGGAGCCGCTCGTGGCCCTTGGCCGTCACGACGGGCCGCGCCGTCGACAGCTTCATGGCCTGGACCGCGATCCAGCGCGCGGACTTGCGGTAGAGCGCGCGGCAGTCCTCGCGGGTCATGGGCTCGGACGACTTGCGGTAGAAGTGGTCCGCCTCGATCTCGTCGAGGGCCTGGAAGTAGACGCCCGGGTAGCGGTCGACGTCGTTGCAGACGTCGAAGCGGCCGCGCTTCGTCGCCCGGTAGTCGTCGAGGAACTTGACGGCCGCGAGCGCGACGCGCGTCGCCTCGGCGCGGTCCGCCTCGCGCGTCGCGCGCGCCAACACCTCCGCGCGCGTCCGCGCCTTGGCCTTGGGCTTGGGCGCCGTCTTCTCCTCGAAGGCCTGGCGGGCGTCGGCCATGGCGTCCGAGCTCAGCTCCCAGCCGCGCTCCCTGGCCTCGTCCATGGTCCGGAGGAGGTGGCGCTGCGCGTCCGTGACCGTCTGGCAGAGGACCTGGAACTCGTTCGCGAACGACGGGCCGCCGTACGACGACTTCTTGAGGCGAGGCCGCGCGTTGAGCTCGTCGAGGCCGCAGCCGTGGCCCCAGACGATGGTGCTGAGCAGCGCGTCGCCCTGCGACGGCTCGACGACGTAGCGCTCCCGCGGGAGCAGCGACGCGATGCGCAGGCACGCGTTGCCGTCCTTCTCGAGCTTGATCTGCACGGCCCGGGAGATGCCGAGGCCGACCTCGACCTTGAGCATGAACTCGCCCCAGGACGCCTGGGGCTCCTTGCGGTAGTAGGTCTGCGCGATCTCGATCGCGGTCTCGGGCGCGCCGTCGCGGTAGACGACGACGGTGATGGCGTCCTTGGCCATCTCGTCGAGGAACGGGTCCCGCTCCTTCTTCTTGAAGGCCGGCATGGCCAGCGGCGGCAGGGCCTTGGTGCTCATGGCGTGGAAGTCGACGACGGACATCTTCCGGCCCTCGTACGCGACGATGGGCGTGTACATCTCCGTGACGCCGTCGGGCTGCGGCTTCCTGGCCTGCGTGGCCCGCCGCGGCCGGCCGCCGAGCGTCGTCGTGCGCGCCGTCGCGCGCCGCTGGCGCACGTCCGCGGCGCCGCGGGCCTTGCGCTCCGCGGCGGACTCGGCCATGGACGCGCGGCGCCGGTTCGAGGGCAGCGGCGGCGGCTTCGACGCGTCGCGCGGGGACGCGAGCTGCAGCGAGTCGCTCGAGACCCACTGCTCCGTGACGGCGAGCATGCCCAGCTCCGCGTGCGCGTTCGCGAGGTCCGCGGCCGCGCCGAGCGCGCCGAACGCGGCCAGGTTCATGCCGCCGCCGGACGACGAGGACGCGTAGGACTCGACGTCGTTCTTGGCGCTCGAGGCGCGCTGCGCGTAGATGGGCGGGCTGAGGACACGCTGGCCCACGGGCGTCTTCGGGCGCACGGGCGTCTTCGGCCGGTCGCCGACGGGCGTCTTGGGCCGCTGGATGATGGCGCGGAAGGCGCCGCCGGGCGACCCGCCGATGGTGACGCGCTCGGGCGCCGGCGCATCCGGCGGCGGCGACTCGGCCACGCGGCGCGTCGCCCGAGGGCGGGTGAGCGCCACATTTTCGGGTAGGGCTGCCCCGTCCATCACTTTTCGGGCCGGGCTGCCGCGCCCATCACTTTTCGGGCCGAGTTTGGCCCCCCCATCAGCAGCGTTGGCGCACGGCAAGTTCACGGCATTATCATCGAGGTGCAGCCCGCGTGGCGACGCCTGCGACGATGCTGCGCCTGGGGATCCTCGCGGCCCTCGTCGCCGGGCTGCCCGGGTGCCGCGCCTTCGTCGGCAACGCGCGCGACGACATCGTGAAGACCTTCATGGAGAAGGTGAACGTGTCCGCGCCCGGCGTCGTGCGCGACGAGAACCAGCTCTCGAAGCAGGGCGACGAGTTCCAGCCCGAGTGGCTCGCGGCCAACGGCAACGTGTCGGCCTTCGGGAAGCTGCGCACGCTGAAAACCATACTGCGAAACCTGCCCGAGGACGGCACGCCCCTGCTCTGCGGCTTCCTCGAGACGTTTAAGACGCCGACGAAGCTCGTCACGCTCGAGGAGCTCGCCAAGGAGAAGACCGTCGCCGTCGCCGCGACGCTGTCCATGGCCGCCGCGCGCTACTACAAGGTGACCATCCCGAACTACGCGCTCTTCAGCAACCACAGCGGCGCGCTCGAGACGGCCGTCTACCCGGGGGACCTCGACGACGCGGGCGACCTCGAGGACTGGGTCGAGCGCGAGAAGGGCAAACTCCGGGCGAGGCCCCGGGCCGCGGCGCCGGCCTGCGCGCCGGGCGACGCGGGCTGCGCGCCCGTCGCCGCGACGGACGCGGCCGCGGCGCACTCCGCGTCGACGGGGGAACTTTGAGCGCGCGACCCCCGGGGGCTAAAGTACGTACTTCGGTTTCAACTCCAAGAAACCTTGCGGCCGCGGCAGTGGGCGTCGAGACCCCGCGGCTCTTGCTTGACCCCCTTGGCATATCCCGCCGGCCGGATGTGTCAAACGCCGCTTCTTTAAAGCCGACCGAGACGATCACTGCCAGCGAGGCGTGGGCGGCGCCTCTGAGGTCCCCCGCAAGGCGTGAGCGGCGGAGTTGAGGTCCCTTTTGAAGGGCAAGCGGCGGTGTTGAGGTCCCTGTTGGTGGTTCAAGTTTGTAATAGTGAAGCCAGTCGATCTTGGATTTTTGAACGCTTGGATTGAATTGTGTGGCGACGTCGCGTATTATTTGACACCTGCTCGCGCACACGTGCCCATCGCCGCCGCTGCCCAACCACATCCGACGCGATCCGCATCGTAGACCCCGCGCGTCCCACCAGCGTCCCACAAATTCCCACCCGAAAGCCGCCCAGCACCAGCCACCAAAGCTCTCAAATGCCCGTGCGGGCGACGTTTGCTCCAGCCGCGGCGCGACGGACGGCGGCGTGGCGCTGGTGGGCCGCCGCGCCACCGGACCCACCGCGGCTCCACGCGGATCCACTGGATGTGCCACCGCGCCGCCCCGACGACCGCCGACAAACGGACGCGCCGGCGACGGCTCGGCTCCGGACGTCGCTCGGAGCCGCGGAGGAGCGCACGGCGCCCCCAGGCCTTCCGCGACGCAGCGCTGCCCGGTCGAGCACCGCCTTCAAACGCGACGACGGCCCCAGCTCGCGCGGCGGCTTGGGGCGGCCGCGTTTGACGCGGCGGTCGGACGCGGTCCGAGCGCGGCGGGGAGCTCCCGGCGGGAGCCGCGGAGATCCGCCGGAGCTGCGGCTCTTCTCCGGGACTGGAGCTGCCCCCTCCCGAATCCTCGCGCGTCACCCTCGCGCGTCGCAGGTCCCGCCGCCTCGCTCGCGACCATGCCGGCCCGCCTCGTCGCCCTCGCGCTCCCGCTCGCCTTCCTGTTCGGCGGCGCGCACGGCTTCGGCTACATCCAGACGGTCGAAGTCACGGAGACGGTCGAAGGGGTTTCTTCGCTCGCTACGCATACCTTCAGCCGCACGTGCGCAGCCGACTGCCCGCAGTGCACCGCGACCGCCATCACTTATCGGCGGGGGCAGGACCTGAGCGCCTCAGAAGAGTGCGTGTGCATCGAAGGCGATCTCCGACCAAGGCATTACGACTACGAGAACGACTACGAGAACGACTACAGTGCTCCAGCAGAGTCGTGGACGCTGACCGCGTACGACGACTGCGCGTTCATCACGACCATAGGCCGTAAGGTGAGCCACCGCGCGGCCGGGCCATCGCGGACGCTCGCCCCCCCCTCCTCAGGTCGCGCTGTACGCCGGCGAAGGGAACGACGTCGTGGACGTGATCAGTGCGGAACACAAAAGCACGATCGACGGAGGGAGCGGCGACGACGAGCTCGCGGTCAAACACGCTGCTAATAATGAGATCATCGGCGGCGACGGCAACGACGAAATCTACGCATTAGAGTTGGACTACCACAAAGGATTCTTAGACGGCGGAGCCGGCGACGACGTGATCGAGATCGGGCGGTCCGGCTTTAAGGTCACGGGCGATGCCGGCGCCGATACCATCTCCATGACGGTGCTTGACCAAATCGGCGATGTCCAGCGTCCCGTGGCCGTGACGATTTCCGAGAGATTTTGGGTGGGAAAACAATGAGAAGTCGTCACCGTCATGCTTGGTAGGCCAATTGGCCGGTGGCGATGGCGACGACACGATCTACGTGGGCATTTCCGGGGATTACGCGTCGATCGACGGGGGCAACGGTGCCGGCCCGCGCCGAGAGAGGCCCTCTGCCTCCATGCCTACCCTTGCACTCCGTAGGCGACGACACAATTACCGTGGGAAATTTGAAGAATTACATGTCGGGCGGGGCCGGGGACGATGTGATCACGGTGACAATGGGGTCTGGAAGCATTTTCGGTGACAGGCAGGCGATCGGAGACTACGTGTGGCAACACTGCAAACACTGCGACTTGGGGAGTATTATTGGGGAGTATTCGTACAGCTACACCGAAGACCAAGACTACACGCCGAGCGAGGGACACGATACGATCAACGTGAAGCTCTGCGACTACTGTTTTGTTACAAGCGAGGGGGGCGACGACGTCGTCTCCATCGGAAGTTTGAGGAGGGGCGATATCCGTCTCGGAGAGGGCGACGACACGCTTGCGATCGACGTCATGGCCGACTACGGCGGCGGTAACATCTACGGAGATGATGGAAACGACAACATACACATCGTGGAAACGCAGTACAGCGCAAAAGGGGGCACCGATACCATCTATGGGGGCGCGGGCGACGATACGATCGCCGTCGATTACGCGGGCGGCCCGAACGCCTGCGTCTACGGCGGTGCTGGCGACGATGTCCTCTCCATGGGCGGCGACACACCGGTGCGCATCGACGGGGGAGGAGGCGACGACACGTGCACGTTCCAGGGGAGCGCGCTCACGGACGCCAAATGCAAATTCGCAGATGGCGGCGCATATTCGTACAGCTACTGCACACCCAACTGCGACTATGTGGCCCCAGTCTACTTTTACTGTCCCCAATACGCTTACGAGGGCGGGGGTGCTTACTGCAACTGCCGTAGCGACTGCGAAACCGAACTTTGCGACTGCGACGAGGCTTGGGAAGCGGATTGCTGCGGCGGTTGGGACGGCTCATAAGCGAGACACTACCCCTTTCCCGCTACCTGCTCGCCGGCCTCAAGTACGCCAATGGCAGGAACGCCGCCATGCACACCCTCTCCCGCCGAATCGACGAGGGCGCGCGCCGCCTCGCGGACCGCGCCGCCCTCGCCTCCCTCACGACCAACCTAGCGGCGTTTGACAATCCCGCCGGCGGGATATGTTAGGACGCAAGCCCCCCAATAACCCCACCTTAGAGCGTCGCGAGCCGCCGGTAGCCGCGGCTCCGGTCGTCGCGGCCGACGCCGCGCCGCGCGCGCGGCGCGCCCGCGGCGGCGGCCGCCGAAGGCCCGCGGCCGCGGGGGCCGGCCACGACCTCAACGCGCGGACGACGAGCGGCGGCGGGCCGGCCGCGGCGTCCGCGGCCGCCGCGGCCGTCGTCGGCGCGGCGCTCGTCGGCGGGCTCCGCGGGGCGAAAGAGCCGGGCGGTATCGTTACGTTGCCCCGCCGCCGGTCGCTACGATTGGGGCGGGAGGAAGGTGCCGATCTGGAGGTCGCTGCGGGCCATGAAGACCGCGTCGCCCCGCCGGTCGCAGAAGCCGCGGTGGAGGAACTGGGGCACGGCGACGCTGAGGAGGTTCTGGAGGTCGCTGAGCTTCGTGGGCTTGGGCAGGACGCCGTTGGAGCCGCTCTCGGTGTACTTCGTGCGGTCGCTCTCGAGGACGTTGCCCGTGAGGTTGAAGATGATCGCCGCGGGCCGCGCGGCCGCGGCCTCGGCCTCGCGGATCCTCGAGATGGCCTCGTGGCCCGGGAGGATGCCGTCGCCGTCGCGGGGCGACTGGTAGTCGATCTCCGCGTCGAAGAAGGCCAGCCGCTTCTGCGCGTTCTCGATGCGGTCCGGCCCGAAGCCGAGCGGCGCGGGCAACCCGTCCGCGCCGCGCGCGACGGCGTTGAGCTCGCCCTTGGCCTCGCGGTCGCACCGCTCCTTGGCGACGGCGCGGCAGTAGGGCTCGCTCAGCTGCTCGTCCATGGTGATGACGTGGTAGGTGCACGCGGCCGCCTGGCGGATCGCCTGCTCGCCGCTGAGGCACGTGTGCAACTCGACGCGCAGGTCCGCGTTGTCCTGGCAGAGCCGCTGGAAGAGCGTCGCGACCATCTGGCGCATCGTGCGCTGGTCGTCGACGACGAGCACGCGCATGCGGCCCCGCAGCTCCAGCCGGAAGCCGCCGAGCGACGGCGACGGCGCCGCGAGCCGCGCCTTGAGCGGCTCGGGCGCGCGCTTCATGCGCGCGACCAGCCACAACAGCGTGCCCGGCCCGCCCTCGGGCGCCATCTTCGCCCGGACCTCCGCCGACACGGGCGACTCGAGCTGGATGCCCCGCCGCTGCTTGCGCCACCACTTCTTCTCGCCCGACGCCGGCGGCTCCCCGGGGCTGCCGCCGCCGCCGCCGCCGCCGCCGACGACCGACGTCCGGAACCCCTCGGGCTGGTGCGGCTCCGCGGAGCAGAGCACGTTCGCGATGAGGTCCGCGAGGCGCAGCCCGATGCCCGTCGACCGCGACGCGTCCCGTAGATCCTCGTGGGGCACCGCGTCGCCCGTCGTGAACGCCAAAAGCACGCGCTGCTGCTGCGCCGTCGCGATGCCCGGCCCCGTGTCCGCGACGGCGAGCACGAGGTCCACGTACTCGTCCGAGTCGCTGGCCGCGGGCTTGGAGATGGACGATCCTTCCGCGGGCGCGCTCAGCACGTGGCAGTGGACCATGACCTTGCCTGCGGACGTGAACTTGGCCGCGTTGCTCAACAAGTTCGTGAGGAACTGGAGGAGCAGCACGCTGTCCGTGAGGACCACGAGCGACCCCTGGGGCGGCGCGTCCACCACCAGCTCGACGCCGGGCCTTAATCGCGGGCCCTGGAGCTTGGCCGCGCGGCTGCAGAGGTCGCCGAGGTCGACGACGTCCTCCTTGGGCGTGTACATGCCGTTCTCGATTTTGGCGACGTCGAGCATGTCGTTGAGCGTGTTGACGGCGTGCTGGCAGACGAGGCGCTGGTGCTCCGTGAGCTGGCGCACCTGCTTCGGGAGCCGCTCCTTGAGCGCCGCGGCCTTGCTCTTGGCCGCGGCGACGTCGTCGCCGCCGGCGACGGTGCCCTCCTCGAGCGCGAGCTCGACGGCCTCGGACACGCGGTCCGCGAGCGCGAGCACGGCGCCGACGACGTTGCGGATCTCGTGGTAGACGTGGGCGCTGATCGTCGCCTGCGCGGCCTGCGCGGCCTCGGCCTCGCGCTGCCTGTGTGGAATTCGACCGCTGGTTTGGGGGGTCCCCACCAAACTTCAGAACTCTCTATCTCGGTCAAATCGAAGTCGAATCGGCTGATTTTTGGACGGATCGATTGCTCTCGTCGAGTTCTCGAAGCACAGCAGAAAGCCTCGCGTCGAAACGGTCGCATACGCGCACATTGAAGTCGGGTTGAAGATTTGATTTCCACACAGCTCTTTGCCGGAGCACCGCGTCCTGCTTCGCGCGCGCCTCGGAGATGTCCTGGCCGATGCCCACGACGCCGACGACGCCGCCCATGGCGTCGCGCCGCGTCGTCGCGTTGAGGAGGATGTTGATGAGGCGCGTGCCGTCCTTGTTCATGAGCGGGAACTCGAAGTTGGCCGTCTCGACGCCGCGCATCGCCTTCTCGAGGACGTCCTGCACGGACGTGCGGTACTCGACGGTGATGAAGGTCGACACGAGGTGGTTGCCCATGACCTCCTCGCCGGCGAAGCCCGTGAGGTTGGACGCGCACTGGTTCCAGACGTTGACGTGGCCGTTGACGTCGACGCCGAAGATCGGCGCGTTCGCCGTGTCGATGAGCCGCGCGTACTCGCGCTCCTGGGCGATGCGCGCCGTGATGTCCTGGCCGATGCCGACGACGCCGACGACGGCGCCCATGGCGTCCCGCCGCGTCGTCGCGTTGAGCAGGATCTCCACGCGCGCGCCGCGCTTCGTGATCATCGGGAACTCGAAGTTCGCCGTCTCCGTGCCGTTGAGCGCGCTGTCGAAGACGTTCTGCACGCTCGCCCGGTACTCCTCGCGGATGAACTCGCGCACGAGGTGGTTGCCCATGACCTCGTCGCCGTCGAACTCCGTCAGGTTCGACGCGCACTGGTTCCAGACGTTCACGTGGCCGTTGACGTCGATGCCGAAGATGGGCGCGTTCGCCGTGTCGATGAGGCGCGCGTACTCCTGCTCCTGGGCGATGCGCGCCGTGATGTCCTGGCCGATGCCGACGACGCCGACGATGAAGTCGTGCTCGTCGCGGCGCGTCGTCGCGTTGAGCAGGATCTCGACGCGCGTGCCCTGCTTCGTGATGAGCGGGAACTCGAAGTTCGCCGTCTCCGTGCCCCGGAGCGCCGTCTCGAAGACGTCCTGGACGCTCTGCTTGTACTCGGGCGTAATGAAGTCGTTGACGAGGTGGCGGCCCATGACGTCCGAGCCGCGGAAGCCCGTGAGGTTCGACGCGCACCGGTTCCAGACGTTCACGTTGCCGTTGGCGTCGACGCCGAAGATGGGCGCGTTCGCCGTGTCGATGAGGCGCGCGTACTCCTGCTCCTGGGCGATGCGCGCCGTGATGTCCTGGCCGATGCCGACGACGCCGATGACCGCGCCCTGCTCGTCGCGGCGCGTCGTCGCGTTGAGGAGGATCTGGACGCGCGTGCCCTGCTTCGTCTGCAGGGGGAAGCCGAAATTCGCCGTCTCGACGCCGTCGAGGGCCTTCATGAAGACCTCCTGGACCGACTCCTTGTAGTCCGCGGTGATGAACTCGTTGACGAGGTGCTTGCCCATGACGTCGCGGCCCGCGAAGCTCGTGAGGTGCGACGCGCACTGGTTCCAGACGTTCACGTGGCCGTTGACGTCGATGCCGAAGATGGGCGCGTTCGCCGTGTCGATCAAGCGCGCGTACTCCTGCTCCTGGGCGATGCGCGCCGTGATGTCCTGGCCGATGCCGACGACGCCGATCTGGCGGCCCTTCTCGTCGCGGCGCGTCGTCGCGTTGAGGAGGACCTCGATGCGCGTGCCCTGCTTCGTGATGAGCGGGAACTCGAAGTTCGCCGTCTCGACGCCCTCGAGGGCCGAGTCGAAGACGTTCTGGACCGGGGCCTTGTACTCGGGCGTGATGAACTCGTTGACGAGGTGCTTGCCCATGACGTCCTGGCCGTCGTAGCCCGTGAGGCGCTGCGCGCAGCTGTTCCAGACGTTGACGTTGCCGTTGGCGTCGATGCCGAAGATGGGCGCGTTCGCCGTGTCGATGAGGCGCGCGTACTCCTGCTCCTGGGCGATGCGCGCCGTGATGTCCTGGCCGATGCCGACGACGCCGAGGACCGCGCCGTGCTCGTCGCGGCGCGTCGTCGCGTTGAGGAGGATCTGGACGCGGGCGCCGAGCTTCGTGTGGAGCGGGAACTCGAAGTTGGCCGTCTCGTCGCCCTCGAGCGCCTTCTTCATGACGTCCTGCACGGACGCCTTGTAGTCGTCGGTGATGAACTCGTTGACGAGGTGCTTGCCCATGACGTCCTCGCCCGTGTAGCCCGTCATGCGGATGGCGCACTGGTTCCAGACGTTGACCTTGCCGTTGACGTCGACGCCGAAGATGGGCGCGTTCGCCGTGTCGATCAAGCGCGCGTACTCGCGCTCCTGGTTGATGCGCGCGGTGATGTCCTGGCCGATGCCGACGACGCCGATGACGGCGCCGCGCTCGTCGCGGCGGGGCGTCGCGTTGAGGAGCACCTCGACGCGGGCGCCGGCCTTGGTGACGAGGGGGAACTCGAAGTTGGCCGTCTCGACGCCGCCGAGCGCGTTGTCAAAGACGGCCTGCACGAGCGCGCGGTACTCCTTGGTGATGAAGTTCTGGACGAGGTTGTTGCCCATGACGTCCTCGGGGCCGTAGCCCATGAGCCGCGACGCGCAGCTGTTCCAGACGTTGACGTTGCCGTCCGCGTCGATGCCGAAGATGGGCGCGTTCGCCGTGTCGATGAGGCGCGCGTACTCCTGCTCCTGGGCGATGCGCGCCGTGATGTCCTGGCCGATGCCGACGACGCCGAGGACCGCGCCGTGCTCGTCGCGGCGCGTCGTCGCGTTGAGGAGGATCTGGACGCGGGCGCCGAGCTTCGTGTGGAGCGGGAACTCGAAGTTGGCCGTCTCGTCGCCCTCGAGCGCCTTCTTCATGACGTCCTGCACGGACGACTTGTAGTCGTCGGTGATGAACTCGTTGACGAGGTGCTTGCCCATGACGTCCTCGCCCGTGTAGCCCGTCATGCGGATGGCGCACTGGTTCCAGACGTTGACCTTGCCGTTGACGTCGACGCCGAAGATGGGCGCGTTCGCCGTGTCGATCAAGCGCGCGTACTCGCGCTCCTGGTTGATGCGCGCGGTGATGTCCTGGCCGATGCCGACGACGCCGATGACGGCGCCGCGCTCGTCGCGGCGGGGCGTCGCGTTGAGGAGCACCTCGACGCGGGCGCCGGCCTTGGTGACGAGGGGGAACTCGAAGTTGGCCGTCTCGACGCCGCCGAGCGCGTTGTCAAAGACGGCCTGCACGAGCGCGCGGTACTCCTTGGTGATGAAGTTCTGGACGAGGTTGTTGCCCATGACGT